GTTGGGGCCTCTCGAAGGACACCGCCCAGTGACAGTGCGGGCTGTCCCCGCAACTTCCGGTTTCACAGGATGCAACTCACAATTTGTACACAGGAACCGTGCAGGATTTCTGGAGTGCAAATCACCAAACACTAGGTTTCTAGGTGGAAGTGGAAACGTAAATTCAGTACCTGCTGCCCCGTTGCCCGCTGTACGAATGTTTCATTACGCTGGGCAAGTCCCAAAGGCCCTTATTTGCCCCTTAGCCCTGACAACGGGGTCTGGACAAGCGTTAGGGTGTCTTCCTTCCACTGGGAACCGTTACAACCGCGTGGATCGAAGCCGTGTCTGTCCACAGCAGTGAAGCTGAGCATCTCGCATGGATTGAGGGTCTTTAATAGGTCTCAGTTCCTGACCACTCTACTCCTTTGACCATTTTCCATTGGATTTGGGACGGTTTCTTCTTAACGGGTGCTTTTCAGTGTTGCTTGCTTTTATGTAACAAGAATGGATTCCTTTTGCAAAACAATGGTCCCTCTAAAGAACATAAAGACTACAGATGAAGAGTGTGGCCTAATAACGTGTAAGAAAACCCCTTCTGAGACAAGAGAAGAACAGTGCGTCCACATAAGGAGGGAATTGTTTCAAGGGCATAAAAGGAAATGCAGGCGGTGGAGTGGGAGCGCGCGTGCGTGCGCGCGCGCGCGCGCGCGCGGCGATGGCGCTCGATGAAAGTGGCGGCTGTGGCGGTGACTCGAGTGTGGGAGAGCACCCGGGAAGGACAGGCGGCGAAGGAGGTCCATTCCGACCGTGGCAGTAACCCACTCGCCCTGAGTCAAAGCCCGCCCCCGGTTTGGAACGCAGGCACGGCAGGCCCCTGGACCGAAGGCCCACAGCGCACCGAGGGGCTTGGCTCCTGGCAGCAGAGCCGTAACACACGAGCCAGCGCCCTTTGAAAGTGAAAGAGAGTGTGGGAGTGGAGCGGAAGGGCAGGGAGCAGGCTGCTGCGCAGGCGGGGCGGCCCCGCCTTACCGGGACTGGATTCTTCTGCCGAGGCTCCTTTAATAGAGGAGCGGGGCATTCAATTAGTCACTAAGAGCGGGGGAAGCTCAGCATTGTCCCGGAAAGGGGCGGAGACTTCTCGGAGGAGCCCCGTGGGCCTTCTGCAGGGTTCCGCCTACGGGCCTCCGCGTCCTATCACAGGTGTGGACGCGGCGTTCAGAGGCTAAGACTCAGCGCTGAGTGTGCAGGGAGGTTAGAGGCTGCACGAGGTGCGGTCGGTGCCCCGGTTGGATGCAGCTGGTCTGCTGCTGCCTCTACCGCCACGAGTGCGTTGAGGGTCGGGCTTGTTCGAAGTCCCTGGAGCCCTTATAGGTCAAAGCCACTCTATCTCAGAATCACCGGCAGGTAAGAAGTTTGCCGAGCGACAGGAGCTCCATCCGAGCAGGGAGCTGCGGCCCCAGAGGTGGAGATGGAGGTGGAAGGAATGATAGGGCGCGAGCGTTCGTGCAGGGCTGGGGGAAGGGAGGCCCCGGAGCAGGAGACCCCGCGGAGGGAGGGGAGGGGAGGGGCGGGGAGGGGCGGGGAGGGGAGGGGTCGGGTCTCCGTGGGAGACGAGGGATTCTAGGCCATGCCCAGCTCTGTTTCTTTTGTTTCCATTTTCTTTTGTGAAAATTAGTATCAACATGTCTTTCGCTTATAATAATTTCAACTGCTCCGTAAATCACAGAATACAGATGTCCGATAGTATTCCCCGGAAGGTATCTTCTGTGTAAATCTCCATAGAACTACATTCAATAATGAAGAGCCTACGGAGTGTGTTATCTTGCAATACTAGATAAAATTAATCCCTGCAAATCGCAAAATTAAAAGGTTGGTTTTATTGCTGAATTTCACGTGTTCTCTGACTACAGAGCATCGAGTTAAGACACACCATAAAAATCTGCAGAGAAACTTAGTGAGCTTTATTAGTTTGACTAGCCGTGTTGATTTGACTGATTTTGACCTTTCTTCCTGCATTTAAATTGCGGACAAATATTTTGCTACCTCTTGAAAGAAGAGCTTATTTCCCACTGACTCGCATCAAAGAGAAATTTGACTTCCATGATTTAATGCTACTTTAAACAAAGAGCAAACTGCCAGGGCATGTTTTATTTACAAAAATAACGTTTCATTTAAGAAGTCATTTTCTAAAACTCAAACCAACTGCGAGCGCAGCGGAGAAAGATGAGACGGTGGGGCGGAGAGCCCCAGACGCGCGCGCGCGCTGCGGGTCGGTGGGCAGTTGGCTGCGTCTGCGTCACTGATACTATTGGCTCGCGGGACTCACGTGCTGTAGCTGCTGAAAACACATTCTTCTGGTCTGTGGAACTAGGTGTGGTCCTTCACAGCATTCTCGTTCGGGAGGGCTGCGTAGTTATTTAGGATTACTTAATCCTCCAAAATGGTGTGGGCAATAAAGTCAAAAGCTCCTAAGAGGAAGGGTGATGGACATGAAAGACGTGGCACTTATTTGGAGTGTGCCCCTGTAAGGAAAGAAAAGCGTAGGACCAAAAAAACCGCACTTTTTAAAAAGATGATACAAAAGGAATCGTTCCTACGATGTTCCGCAGAGTGTGCACGTAAATAGCTAACTGTTGCGAGCTTTTGCCCATGAAGACCCACCACAATGCAAGGCGCGTGACGGGGATTTGATGCCAAGTGCATTTTGCCTCAATAAATGTCAGTTACTATAATAAGAACTAGATTTTTATTTATAAATAATGAAACAGGACGCGTAGCCTTTGACTGCGTTAGTATTGAACCAAGAACGTGTAAAAAGTAACGCAAAGAGGTTTACCAAAGAAGGACGGCAGGAAATGGACCCTCAGCAGAACCTTTTCACCTGAAAATGTCTCTTTGAAGAACCTCTGGGTCGTGTGAGGAGTAACATGCGCACCAGGGAATGAGAGCACAGCCTTTCCACGCGTGTCAACAGCGGCTCTTTCCCGCTGCGGCCGTGCACCTGAGGGTCTTCATGTTAACAACGTGGCAACAGGCCAGGCAGACGACCGCCACTCGCGGAACTGACGGAGAGCTGAAACGTTTTATCACAGACCTCCGCTGTCTGTTAAAATGAGAATCAAGCCTAGTACATTGTAAGCAATCATGAACTTTGCAGGCGATGTTTTAGGAGGAAAAGAACAAAAGTTGGTATGAAAATTGTACTGTACACACGAGTTCGACGTCGAAGCTTACGTTTCCAAAATTATCATCGCAAAGTCAGCTAATCACATCATGCAGTTTTATCATTGCAGAGAAATAGTGAAATGTGTATCTCTTTTTTGCAAATATTTATTGTAAAATTTATTTTGTTTAAATATTTGAAAAAAAATGAACAGCTTTCTTATGTGCTCCACACACAAAAATTAATGGCTTGGGACCTGAATTATGAGAATACTAAATGCATCTTTTAGTCCCACTGAATCCTGGTACCAAAATTAAAATAAGCTTTAAAAGACACCTAACATGGTCTCTTTCTGCCCAGTAAATATACAATTGAATCCAAGCTTTATCTCTGAAATGGACCAGGCTTTATGAAGTTGGAACTTTTTGCTTAATTTTTCTGACTAGGTCCTGGAATTACGAACGGCCGTGCCAAACTTTAGAAAGTGAATCTTTATGTCTCGTGACAGATTGCCTAGCAGTGCAACTCATAGTAACAGACATGGGCCTGCGATTGACGTATTGTTTTCTTTTTTAAGATGAAGATCATAGACATGTAACCCCATGATCTAGTGCGGGGGGCCCATCGGTTAATGCTGATCGGTTCTGATTAACAGATATTTGCCCGGAGTTCAGGCAAATATCTGACCCCCCAGTGCTTCGCCCTCGACCGCAACTGCTGCTCTGCAGGAGAAAATATTTCCCCAGCCTGCTTCTACATGAGCAGAAGTCACCATACCTCTATTTTCAAAGACCTTATTGTATCTTTTGTATCTTCTGGAAAAGAGAGTCTCCAGTGGAAAATACACAGTCAAGACACACAACCCCCCCATTTGGCCAAAGTCACTTGCCGCTGAAACCCTCTGAATAAAGTCTTTTCTTGCAGGTCACTTAACATTTAGAACTTTTCTATTCTGTGTTTTCTAGCAGCCCACAGATCAGAGAAACACACATACCACTCGTCTGCTGACCAGAAGTACTGTCCACTTGAACTACACTGTCCAGCAAATGCCAGCTGGCCAGGATTCGGTTGGAGAAACTGAGGCACAGGAGTTTGAAGGACTAACAAGAGATGTCGAAGCTTGTTCTCTCTGCTGTTCATAAGCTCCTAATTGGTGAGTCCCACCCCCTCCCGCCCCGCCCTGGTAAGGAGAGAAATAGTGAGTAAACAGTATAAATTAGAAACTTGCTTCACTCTAAAATTTATGTGAACAAGGTACTAAACCATAATGTAAGGAAGAATTGCTAATTTTCTGTGTATAATAAAAAATTAGAAAGATGAATGTGAGTTGACTGACAGGCAGTTAATGATGTATAGTTAAGACATTTAAAATCATTCAGGAACCTAATCGAAGACTGGATGTCAACTATAATAAAAATTTTTCTAAAATAAAAATAATAAAATCAGGAGAGTGAAGATACAGAAAACCAAATCTACCTCAAGGTGGTATATAAGCTGATGCACAATTCAATAGAAGGAGTTTTCTTTATATTTTGAAAAACACCATTTTCCTTGAATTTTTCCTAGAACCTAAACAATTATTAAACTATGTTTTTTAATTGAGGCCTGTAGAATTGTTCTACAAATGTTAATTGCATAACTTATATTTTATTATGTGCTTATATAATACGTTCATGAATATGTCACACACTGTTTTATGGACAAGAGAAGATGATGGTTAAATTTTATTATGATTATTGACATCATTTCCTAGGAAAAGCAGTCTTAAGCATTTGAAAAATTCAAAGTGAAAGCACTTCAGAGAAACTTTAACATGGAAAATATACATACGCAATATCATATGTCTCATATCAAAGTCTTATTCCATAAAAATAGCTGTATTAAGTTTCCTATGTAAATATTTAGCACAAATACATTTGCATGATTCTATTTTTATCCTATGGATTTAATACAGACTGTATTTGTTTAAAGATGTTTATTTAAATTCAGTCCTAACAAACATATAATTTGGGGTCAAAAGTATCAAGCAATGAATGCCACATATCTTACAGAAAATAATCCTTGTTGTAAAATGTAAACACCTCGTGGAGATACAAAGATAGGCTTGCTTGAAAATTTTAAATTAGATTAAATAAGCTTGAAGGAGGCCGCACTAAATGCTAACATATGGAATATAAGGTTTCCGACGTTAATTTTGCTGACTTTCTTGTAGGAACTATACACACTCTTCCTACTGTTATGTCTGTTTCCGGAATGAAAATAGCGGCCGGTAGGATGTGCGCGGATCAGCCCGCAACGACACCTGGAGGTCGTCCCGGAAACACGCGTGGTCGCCCCCCCGCCCCCATGCAGTTTGTGATTTCAGAAAACAGACGCTTTAAGCAAATGCTTCCAGTAAAAATATTTCCATCTTCTTGTTCCAAAAAACCCCAACAAAAACAAAAAGGCAACGTTTTTCAAGGGCGCTTAGACTCGCTTGGAGTCCGCCCCTTCTCTCTCTCACACACACACGCACACACAAACCCACAGGCAAAGGGTACAAAGAAGTTACTTTTGCTGAAGGATAGGTAAAGTTTTAAAATAAGCATACGACTGTACAAAATGGTTTTAAATATAATAAAAATAGAAGCTTGCCAGAAAAACTGGCCGAGTCACATCATTACTCCAGTGCATGTCTAGTTTGGCTCCCTACTTGGAGAAAAATAGCAATGATGTGTAACGGGAGGCGCGGCGCGCCTGCCCCTATGCACTCTGGGTCATGGCTGGGCTCGCGGGGCCGTTGGCAGAATGTTCTGGTTCCCCGGGACCGCCGGCGGGTTTGGGCCCTTCCCCCTCTTTGCCTCCTTCCTGGCCCTTCTCTGGGGCCCTGGGTGGACTGACACAATTAGCCTCCTGTTTTGTTTTGTCCACTTCGTTATCAAATTCAATTTTGTCTCCCTGGCCGGTGTGCCGCTTCACCTGCCCGTTCTGGGCAGGGTAGGTGCTGGCGATGACATCGTACAGGAACTGGTATTGCTCCTGGGGAAGGAAAGAAGCCAGAGTTCGGTCAGGAAAGCGCCTGTGGCTTTCTCGCCACTAGGATGAGTGGGAGCCCCTTGCGCCCTCGAGGAAGTCCTGGGCGGCAGGAACCTAGCCGTCTGTGTTCTCCTGAAAAGAACGTCTGAAATGGTGTTCTGTCCCGGCAGTTCCAAAGGGCGGGCTGCAGGGGACTCTTCACAAGTTACCTGGTGGCCTCACCAGACAGGTGCCCATTCCCCCAGGCGCCGCACGGTCTCATGCCCTCACTTCCGCCCAGGATGCCGACTGGCCTGTGATGCCAAGTTTCGTGCCCCATCTGTTGGCCGGCACCTACGGCACCTACGCATGACCTAACATCAGAGCCCCCTCCCTCAGGAAGCCCACCCAGGTGACCACAGGTTCAATTGTGTCCTCATGCACGTTCTTCTTATCATTTCTTTCTCATTTCAGTCACCACACTGTTGAATACATATCTGCCTTTTCTTTACACTAAACCATGGGTCTCTTAATGGCAGGAGTACATAGCAGGCCCTCAATACACTTCGAAAATCAATACAGGCAAGCTCAGTGACAGATAATTAAATGCTGCACGTATGTGCGTGAGCAGGTAAGTTCACGTTGTGGCCCGTTGCTGCGTCATTCCCTGACTCTCGTGAGTGGTCACGATCGGCACGTGTAGACTGAGTACAAAAGTGCCGCACGGTCACCCTCTCGGTCTCCAGGCCTCTGTGCCGCGTGACTTGGCGGCGGCCCCTCTCGCCCAGAGGAAGGGCGTCCGTTTGCCCACCCCCGCATCGGAGCTGGCCCTGTGGCTCGCCTAGGAAATTAAACTTGGAGGGAGATGCGGGAGGCTTGGGCCCCCGAAAGTCTGGGTCCTTGCTGCCGCCCTTCTGGAAACTCACGAATGGATACAAGATTATAGGGGGTTGGTGGGGGGCGGGGGCGGTTCATGAGCTTTTAAATAAATGGTCTTCCTGCTCAGGAAGTCGTGCCTGATTGCTGGTGAACCCTAATTCGGTCTCCTATTAATAATTCAATGTGAATCATCATGTAAAAATGGAAGACAAAATAGAGGAATAGAAAAGCGAATGGAAAAGTAAAATAGTAGAGGAGGAGAGGAGAAGAAATTGTCAGAAATCCCAAACCCGTTAAAAGCAAAGGTGAGGTATACTTACAAACGTAAGGACCATTCCTGGCCTGGCTTTGCGTAGAGATTTCACGACTTGGAAAACATCTATTACATCTTCTGTTTCCGCACTTTCCAAGAGATTTAACAAAGCACAAAATATCCCTGTTTGCTGGGATCCATCTCTATAAAAGATAGAAGTGGTTTTCAACAATAATTTCACATTTTATAGAAAAAATGATAGAATAAAAATTCAAGAGACAGAATATATCCTTCACTACATGACTATTATATTATTGTATTCTAATCGTTTAAGAGTGAAATATTTATGCTAAAAACATTTTGGGGAAAATAAAACAATCCGATAGCTTAAAGCATATTTGTCTCAGGATGAAAAATATGCTTTTGTTCTGTGTAGTACTTTTCAGTTTTTCACGCAGTTTTGTTTCCATCTGAGGTTGTCGGGAAGAATATCATGGTGCCAATTTGACGGGTGGGGTTGCCAAGGTTTAGGGAAGTTCAAGTCCAGGCTAGAAACTGATGAAGCGGGAAGCACTGGAATGGATACTTTGTAAATTACTAGACCACGTGCCCATTTTCCTTCTCTCCTCTGCCTTCCTACCTTTTCACAAATGTCTGTGCTTTTCACAAATGTCTGTGCTTTTGCATCCATAGAAAAATGTATCTGGTGGAACTATTCATTAAAGAGAGGGCAAGGGAATGATTTACTAACCTGTGAGCGGTATGTTACATTATATTAAAGATCTCATTTAAAGAATTTATTACTGGCAGAGTCTGTTTATTGTACGTAACTCGGGAACATATCATTGGTATTCAGCCATATCCCGAGACACACATACTGTTTTAAACCTGAAATCCCTCCTTCGGCTCTCTCGCCACATCAATGTCACCTTGGAAACCTCAAATAAATGTCAGGAGGGGTCTCTAAGGGCTCAACTCTAGAATATGCAATTCTAATAATAATGAGGCTTTCTGAAAAATTCTGAAAGCATTTCACTGCATTTACATTTCTCATTTACTGGACTGTTTTTATGGAAACATTTTCCATAGGCCTCCTTCTTTCTACATCTCTTATTTAAGGTGGATATGTAGGCATCTACTGCAGATGAAAGTTAAGGGTCTGCATAGCTCATAAATAAAAGGAAGTATTATTGATTGTTAAAATCTTTGCTTCTTGGAAATCAACGGGTAGGTTTCAAATCAAAGTTGCTAAGAGTGAAGATTTCAGTTAATACACATCCAGTGTTTACTGAAGACAAAGCCTCCAGTCCTCTGGGTTCTGTTCACACCCACGAAGTGACGGATACATGTAAGCGTGAAGCAAACATCGTATCTGTCTGCTCACACACCCTTCCATTCAGCCACTAATTTACCCAGGACATAGGACATTCCAGGGTCAGCATTAGGCACTAGGGACTCAAAGGGGACCCGACACTGGTCCTACGCAACTCACAGCCTAAAATGACCGCACCGTGATACAATCACGGCTATTAGAAAAATCTCTACAATAGTCGCACTGCCGGGCATAACTGAGCATCGCCAACTCCCTAGGGGGCTCCCCGTCCGCCCCCCACCCACCCCCGGCGCCAGGCACCTCGGCCGTCAGGACACGTCGAAGGGGACAGGAAGCCGCGTGGGCGGGGTCGGCAGCGCACGCACCTGCAGTGAACCAGCAGAGGCACGCTCTTGTGGCTCTTGGACGCTTCCACGGGGTTCCTGGTCAGGAGCTTCTGCTTGAGAGCCTGGATCATAGACACCAGCTCCTTGGGCTCTGCGGGAAGCCCTCCCGCTCTCCAGTTGAGGAACTGGTACTGGTGCACGGCCTGCGGCTCTTTCCTCTGCAAGCGGAAGCGAAGGGAACACACGCAGGTGAGGGGCGCCCCGGGGCCGCCGGGCGGGCGCGCACTCCTCCCGGCTGCTCGGCTCTCGACCCTGACACCTTTGTAATCGCGCATTCTGTGGAGAGCTGCTTTGTTCTCCTGGGGACACTGACGTCAGCTCTCACCCCAGGTGGTCTCCACCCAAGACAGACGCCCTGGCCAGCCGCTGTACCTTGGCGTGTCTCAGCTCGAATATGCGGAGGGTGTAGGCAGAGGACTTGGCAGTGTCTCTCAGGCTGACTTCTATGTCTCCGTATGTTTGCGTCCCTTCTGTCCAGTACTGAGCGCAGGCCTCCTGAGTGAGAGAGAACAGGGTGCAGCCATGTCCACACGGGGGTCCTCGGCTCCTGTCACCTCTGTTCCGTCCCCTCTGCTCTATTAAGATCGCTAACCGAGCTTCTGAACTACAAGCCGCCCGCAACACTCTGAAGTCTGTTCTAAGTGTGGGGACATCCGCTCCACAAATCCGGCATTTTCTCGCGCGGATCGAGGGGACCTGGGAGAGACCAAGGTGGCCAGGACACCCCGGGAACAGCCCTGTCACCTCTGCGGGGGGTCTTCGAGATTCCTTCCTGCCTGCCTGGTCCCCTCCCCACAAGGTGGAGGCTGAGCCGCTGGGGGCCGCGGCCCTGAAATCTTAGGTCTCACTGCCCCTCCTGAGGCTCCTCAGGGAACCCCTGTATCGCCACAGCTCCGCCTCCCAGCTGGGGACCTGTCCCCCGGCAGCCCCGCGGGAGCCGGCTGGATGTCTAGCCCGAGGGCCAGACTGAAGAGCAGGCGAATCCCAAGGCTGCGTCCTCTCTACAGGTGGGTCTCTGTCAAGTACCGCCCACAGCGGCTGCGTGGGCCTGCGCCCCCTCCCACTTCCCAGCTCTTGCAATCGAGGCCGAGGACGAGACGGCTGCAAACATCAGCATGTATCTCTTTTTTTGAAAAAAAAAAGGAAAAACATAGAAAGGAAGAAGAACTTTGTATGTCCAGGGCAGGGGACCAGGAGAAAAAGAGAAAGAGAAGGCATATACTGTAATCGCATGCTCATGAGGCTTTTCATTAAATAAACTTCAGCGTGTGTCAGATACAGTGCCCCGTGCTAAACAGTCGGGAACATTTGATGACTCGGGATGAGGGAGAGAATCAAATACACATCACAGGCATGAAGCAGAAGATCAAGTGAGATCTTAGATTCACTAGTAAATGTGATTGTGGACACAGGGAAGGCGGATTCGGATGTTTGTCTCGCTAGCAGCACGAGATTAAGACCTGGGATGTCGTTCAGTTAGGACTGGGGATGAAAATGCAAATGGAGCGTTAAGATTCCGTCAGCAGCCCTGGCTGGTGCGGCTCAGTGGGTGAGGGCTGGCCTGGGAGCCAAAGGGTCGCCGGTTCAATTCCGAATCAGGGCACATGCCTGGGTTGCGGGCCAGGTCCCCAGTAGGGGGCGCACGAGAGGCAACCACACATGGATGTTTCTCTCCTTCTCTTTCTCCCTCCCTTCCCCTCTCTAAAAATAAATGAATAAAATCTTAAAAAAAAAAAAGATTCTGTCAGTAACCCTACTTACCCAGAGTGGGACGTATAGAAAACGTAAACATAGGAGGAAAATGGAAAGGTAGATGCGGGGCCAGATCATTGAAGGTCTAAAATCTTAGACTGAGGAGTTTGGTTTTTGTGTTGAAGAAAATAAGGAAAACGGGGCTGTCGCTTGTCATTGCGGCGAGGTGACCCGGGTTTGCCCGCCTCAGACGCTCTGGGAGCGGTGGGCGGGGCTGGGGACTCAGAGCCCAGATACACGACGCGGGGAGCCGCCTCGGGGGTGGAGGACGGTCCCAACGGCCACATGAAATTGTACCACGGGGCGTCAGCAAGACTTGGGTGTAGCAATCGAGTATGTTACCCCGGACGGAGAATGGCATTTTGTGACAGGAAGATGGAAATGAAAGGTCACCGGAGGGGCGCACCTGGTCTCCTTCCTGCAGCTCTGTCAGCATGACTATGACCTTGACTCTCCTTTGGAAAACCATCTGCCAGAAGTCCGCGACGGCCTCCCGCAGCGGCCCTTGGGCCGCGATCATCACTTCGGGTTTCCAGTAGCTCTTCAAGAAAAAAAAAGAAATGGGTCTCCGTTAGTGCCGCTGCGTGACAAGAGCTGTGGGCTCGGAACGCTCCCCTTGGAGATACAGCGGCTTAATACCACCAGCAGCGCCGCTCCACAGAAACAGGCAGGCTCTTAGGCCCGAGCCACAGTGGGGTATCTACGCGTAGAACACTTATCTAGTTACTGGTGATACTTAGCTAATGCTATAAAGTCAAGTTAAGAACATGTCTCGCAAAACTAACAAGTTATCCCTTCCAAAAATGCTGTTTTCCCCCTCAAAAGGTTGATATGATTGTAAAATGAAATTACACTAGCATTTCAAATTATCTGCATCATGCTTCTACTTAATGGCTGTCTATGCATTCTTGTGATAGCTCATTATTAAGTTAATATTTTTTGAATGTATGTTTTAGGAAAATTTGGGAAAGAAATAAGGCCAACTTAGTACATACTTAGTATATATGTAAAAGGTATTTACAGAATGACTGAAGGTTTCCTGTTTGAATTTTCAGTTTATTGAAAAACACAGGTATGTGGCACAGATGCACCTAACATTCAGATAATCTGAATGAAAAGCTTTTAATTGTATGAACATGCAAATTTGGATTTGCTTATAATGTGGGTATGTGTGTCAATATAAACATTTTCAAATACTTGTAGTTGCTCAAATTTTATTTTTCAAATTAATATGATTATAGTTGTATTTGTCACCAACGGCAACTAATAGAATTGTCTTATTTTGTATCAACTCGTTAGGTCTTATTTAAATGTCTTTGTCTTTCAATATGTTACAATATAGCATTAAGAACTGAAACCTGCGTAATTTCATCAACCGATGTCACACCAATAGATTGAATAAAAAGAATAAATTTTAGAGAATAGAAAAGAATGGGAGCTGTCACGTCGGCCGGCGCTCGGCGAGGGCCGAGCTCGCCATTCCGCCGCCGCGTGAGAGCGGCGGCAGCGGCAGGGGCGTGGCACCCACCGGCACGAACGAGGCGTTGATGTATCTGCTGTTCTCCTCCGTGTCGCTGTCGTCGTCGGAGGACTCGTCGGACTCATGCTCGCTCTCCTTGCTGAAGTCCAGCTCGTGTTTCAGCTGCACTCTGTTGAAGTCGTCTGCACGGGGCACACGGGCGGTGAGTCCCCCTCGGAGGCGCCACCCCCACCCGACTGCCCCGTGGAAGCCAGGAAGGAATTGCGCAGTGACATTATGTACACTTGTTGGCGCGACAGGGCGTGGGATCCTACGGGAGAGTCAGTGCTTCCTGACGAACCGGTTATTAGCGTTCTGCTTGAGAGGAATTAAAAATTACATGTGGACGTTAACAAACTACATCACAGGCAAACACTTACTGTCCTATTGGAGTCTAGTCACTTTTAAACGACATCTTAATGAAATCAGTATCTCCAATAAATTATGATGTAATAAAAAATTTAGTCTATAATTCCTCAGTATCTCAATTTTTAAAAAATTAATGACCTGATCAAGTGATCTGATTGGCTACGTCACTGTCCACTTCATATTTTAAACTACGTCCATAAAGAATTCTCCAGAAATGAACTAGGCCAACCACGCGCCGATCCGATGTATGTGGTTGGTTAGCTTATTAGCCAGGGTTATATTCTCTGCAGGCTAATTTTACTGTGTACATCTGAACAACGTTAGAGCCCTCCCAGATGCTGTTATCAGTGCGCTTACGAGGCAGAATTCAAGTCTCGAAAACTGCGTGCATTTTGATCTGCGGAATTGAACGATGGGCAGGTGTCAGCGTCCTTTTCACCTTTTTTCAACCTCCCCGAGATCAAGAGGGAGAAAGAAAAGACCGAAAGGGAAGGACAGTGTGCAGCCTTCGCTGCTTGCCTGCTGCCCCGGGGCAGACGGCTGAAATGAAGCGAAGCCGAGGCGACTGAGAGACACAGCACGTGGGTCTGTTTCCTCCCAGCTGTCGGGGAGCTGCCTTCAGGTGGAAAGAAAACACTGGGTGCGGTCTGGCCCCCCAAGGCCATAGTGAGTGTTTGGGGTCCGAGCATTTGCTTTAACTTAGTTTTAAACATCCCACCCAGGGCTCCTCCGTGTCAGCCCGTATTGAAAACTTGCTTCACGGTCATTTGTGCGCGTGTCTTCCATGAAACAAATCCACAAGAGCTTGGGTTTATCTCTCTCTCTCACACACACACACACACAATCAATCAATCAATCAAATAAACGACCTACATGGAATGACGGAAGAGCTCCTGTTTTTGCTTTTGTTTTCTCCTTGGTTCCCAGTGTGCTGCGTCCTCCAGCCCCTATACGTAGGAAGTCTCTGCGGGAAGACCAAAGAGGATGGAAAACCCCGTCACGCGCGCGAGCACGGGCTGAGCGCCGTCGCGGGGCCCGACGCAAACATCTCCCATCCAGTGTCCCCAGTGTACACCCATTCCCTACAGCTCCCGATTTTTAAGTCCGCCTCCGCCTTTTCCCTTTTAATTGCTCTGGCACTTGGTGCTTTTGGCGCGGTAAGGTCGGACTGAAAGTGCGCAGTCAGAGAACAGAGCACGCTCCCTCCCGGCCTCCGGCCTTTCTCTCTGTCTCTCTCGCCCGCCCGCTCCCTTTCTCGCGCGACAGCAGCCTGCACGAACAGTCTGTTCCTCTCGCTTGTCTCTCTCGTGATCCGCGTCCTGCCTCCGTGGGCAGGAGGCGGCCGCTGGCCGGGGATCCTGCCTGCCCTCTGGTGGCTGTGGTCTGTCACCAGCAAACTCCCATCCACTCTAAGCCTCTCTTCCCAGCTGTCTCTTCACCTTTGTATTTGTATTTGTTTTTCGGTGTGTTGTTGGGGGGACCGTGTGAAAAGGAGGTGTCCCTTGAAGACACCACCAAGAACACAGTAGCTTTTTTGAAAAGCTGATTTCCCACTCCTGCAAAATCCTATTTGTTCCGAGAGAGAACTCAATCTTTCTTTTAGTGCCTTTGTGTCTGAGTGTTGAAATTAAATTCAGAAGCATTTCCAAACAGTGTGGGGGCATGTGGCGTTTAGAAGGGTTGGGGTGTTGAATGGGGTTGATTTATCAGCTGAAAGAGCAGGAAGCGCGGGAGGAGACGCCCAAGCGAGCGGAAGACAGCCTCGTCCTCTGCTCCCTGCGGCGCGGGCGGGGGTCCGCGGGGCTCTGTGGCCCAGGGACTGTGTGGCCTGAGATTACAGTGCGCCCCACCCTGGCCCCTCTCTGAGCCACAGCCTCCAACGATTCTGCAGCTGATGAAAAGCAAGTATCGGGTCTTTCCCAGCAGAGCCTGGTACGCTGGAAAGCATGGCTCAAGGAGAAAAGTTACAAAAGCTTTGTTCTGAGAAGTGGGCCATTGGAGGTTGCCACACCAACACTCTGAAGTCACGGTGAATGGCATCTTGCGGTGGCTTTCAGAGTAATTGCCCCATAAATGGGATGGGACACACGTCTTCCTCCCTCCGTTTCTGCCTTCAGCTCCAGCCAGTTCAGCTTCCTAAAGAGTCATAAACTCGCCTAATGACTTCCTTTACAAACCAGAACCAGCTGCGCGGGTGCGGGCGGCGGCAGCATCGCCGGGGGCGGCCGGCCCGCGGCTCCCGCTATTGCATTTAACCTTGATCTCCTACCGGCCTGATGAGGAACGGTTCGCAGCGCTGGCTGGAGAGTCGGATTTCTACACGTGAGCACGTCTGCACGATAGTGGCGTGATTTCCGCAGCGCCGGGACAGCGTGCCCCGGAGCGTTAGCAGGGAGTACCGTCAGCATCGTTCTCGCGGGTGGTACCTGGAACTCCGCCTCCAGCGGAGAAGGCTCACTGGGCGGGTCCCTCTTCTTAAGGTTCAGCAGGTACTGGTGCAGCTCAGACAAGCTCACTTCTGTCTCTCCATACTGGTTGTACTCCACCAAGGCCTGGTGGATCAGGATGTACTGTGCCTGTGGTTTCAAAGGGAAAACCAGATAATGAACCGAGAGCTTCCAGTTTTATAAATCGCAGTTAAATAAATTACAGACGTCCATAATTTTGCTCGGGGTGAGACAATGTATGGAAAAGGAAAGAGTTATCTCTCATGTTTAAATATTCTGGACGTCGGCGCTCAGAGTTCTGAGGAATGTGAGCAAGTTTCATCCAAGACTTTTTTCCCAGAAAAAAAAAAAAATTAGCTTGCTAAACAGATGAGGCTGCCCCTGGGTAGTGCCTGGCTTTTACCTTATTCCTAAAAATTAAGTAAAAAATCTGTTACTTCCTTCAGTGACTATGACGGAGTCACTGAGTCAAATACTAACATAGAACACTTACTAAACTTCACATTATCTGAGAAAAAAGGAAGTTTATGTTCCATAGAACACACTTTTAGAGGAGCTTTCTAGAACTTTTTAAAAGAAATTTATTTAAAAAAAAAAACACAAAATATGCCAAACCCAGAAACTCCAAACTGTTTATCGTCTTTCAATCCACTATTTTAAAATGGAAGACACATTTCTGATTAAGCCCCAGCCTCTTTTGCCCGCTTCTGGTTCCCTGAGTGTGACTGTGTCTTTCAATTCTATTTCTGTTTCTACATGAAATAATTTTTCTTTTGGTCTAGTTATCAATCCGTTTTTATACCTCTGCACTCCTGTCTACGTGCCTAGAAGCGTTGTACATTTCTGTGTGTTTTCTTAAAAGTCACAGAAGTTGCGCCCTATCTGTCCCGTTTGGTGACTTGATCCGCACTCAGTTTTTGCCTCAGAGCCACACCACGGGGACGGACGTGGACCTAGGTTACTCATGTCGCCATCGGCGTGGCGGGCTCACGGGCAGTCCCCGTGGCCACCCGTGGCTCGTCCATTTTCTCAGCGGACGGACGTTCCGGGTGTTTCCAGTCCCTTTGCTACTCCAGCGGTGAGGAATGCCGCGAACACCTGTGTACGTGTTTCTTGCTGTGCCCGTGGTTAGGGCTTCTCTTGGGTGGGATTGCGGGGTCAAGTGAAGACATCGTCACTAGCAGCCACCACTTACAATTACTGGCTCCCCACAAGTGCCGGGCACATGTCCAAGCGCCCTACCTGAGTCGCCTTGTGCCCTCGCTCTGTGAGGCGAACCCCAGCACTACCTCCCGGTTACAGATGGCTTACACGAGGCACAGAGACATTACACCTTTTGAAAGGATGCACAGGACCAAGAATTAGAAGCAAGGGTTGAACACTGGAGGTCTCGTTCCAAAAAGCAAGCTCTTAACCTCGGTACTAGTCTGTCTCCTTCGTTTTCACTGTATGAGATGCTGCCAAATGGGCTTCCGGTATTTTTATCCTTTTCCCAATATGATATGTGTAGGTGGTATTACATCATTTTTAAAAATTATATTTTTCAGTCGTCCTTTTCCCCCTGTACGTTCAGGCACTAACGTGAAACGCTTCCAGGACTGGAGCTTAGCCTGTGCTTTAGCTGCCGGGGACGAAGATGAAAACGACTTTCATCGACTGGTGGAGACCGAGAAGCAGTTAGGTTTCTTTAAAGATCGCCACTCCCGCCCCAAAAGATCTAAGTCGGGGGCCACAGCGAGCAGCGCGAGTGAGAACGAACCTCCACTTGCACCATCAGGCACCTCTGCCGCCGCAGCTTGACCACGTAGCCGTAGACGTCCACCTTGCTCTCAGCCTCCAGGCCCTCCAGCATGGCGTCGATGCCGATGTAGGTGCCCGTGCGCCCCACGCCCGCGCTGGGAACAGAAACACGGCCGTCAGCCAAGCCCACGGTCCTGGCGGGGCCCGGCACGGCACAGCCGATGCGGGCGAAGCAGAGAGGAGAGGATGAGGTTCTCCCCACAGGCTGTCCCCAAGGCCGGAGGGAGGCACCCTCGGCCGAGAGCCGGGGCTCGCGGTGGGAGCCCCTCACCTGCAGTGCACCAGGATGGGGCCGCTGAAGAAGTTGCTGAACGCGTTCACCCTCCTTCGCAGCTTGAGGAGCAGGTGGGGGTCGTCGGGCACCCCGTGGTCCGGCCAGCTGGTGAACTGGATGTGAGTCACCTCCCTTCCGGATGTTTTCTCTTTTTTCTAGTCAAGAGATAATATTGTCTTTGAGTTTTTCCCCCCGAACCGACTACCCGACAGAAATAAGAGGAAGGGGCGGCCAGTACAAATAACCCCCCATGCACGTCCTTTCAGCCACGGTTACATCCTCGTCCGCAGCGCACAGCGGTCGCTGGGAGGTCATGCATGATTGGCATGCACTAACCAGCCGGCAGCGACTTACCAGCAAGCTAAGTGGGGTGCGTGCGTGTCGCTGGAACTGCTGGGAGCTTTCCTGCCACCAGGCCAGAAACAGACACACACACAGACGCACAGACGCACAGAGACATGGGGTGGGCGGGCGGGTTCGAAGCAGCAAGGCCCGTCTCCCTGCCGACTGACTGCTTCTGCGTGGTGGGCCAGCAAATAGGACGCCTGTCCTGTGAAGACAGCCTGACGATGACTGGGTGAAACTCTATTTCCTCGGCCCCTGCCTCTGAGAAGCGTCAACCACGGCCAGGGATTGAGGAGAGTCAGCCCAGATTACAGCTCAGGTTGGTCCTGACCTCACGGCACCCGCGAGAAGTCGCGGAGTTCGTGGTTCTCTGACCAGCCGTGAAGAGGGACCACCACATTTCAGTAACAGAAGAAACAACAGGACTTGGTTGGTTGTACTTTTCTGATAGGACGTAAGTTAATTAAGAATAGGGATGGCCAAATAGTCAAGATAACTGGATTGGCATTGACCTCTATGTGTCACCCGTATCTATGGACTGGGCCCCTCGTGACTTATTCAACCACAAGCCACTGGGGGAATTCTTCTAACAGCCTTCCATGGGCGCAACACTTAGCAAGGCCGCGAAAACCTTAGAAGACCTTGGGATAAATACACAATCTGTGGTGTTTTTTTTTCACTGTAGAAGGTATATCTGGACTATATGGAAATACAATTTAGATGACTGAAAACCCTTCTTCAATAAGTGAAATTCAGAGAAAATTTCAATCCAGCCTGCAAAGACCAGATTCATTAAGATATTCTTCACATACCATAAAATTCATTCATTTAAAGTGCCAATTTCTTTATTATATGGACAGAGTTATAAAATCATCACCACTAATTATAAGACATTTCCCACTTACCCCTGCATCCCCCCCGCCAAAAAAAGCCTTACTTCTTAGCTGTGATCGCACAAGTCTGCTCAACCGCTCAGTCTCAAGCAGTCGCTAACCACCTTTCTGTCTATAACTCTGCCTATTCTGGACTTTTCATAAGTGGAATCCTACACATGCGTGAAGATCTCCGTGTTTAATTTCTTATTAAGGACGCACTGATAGTTTCTGAATGAAACATTCCATTTCTCCTGCATAGAACTTCGTACTTTTTTGCAGTAGTCTCTAATTGTGCCTTATGTATAGATTGTCTTCCCATAATGGTAATAAACCCGTTGAGAATAGAGGTCCATTTTATCACTCATTCAGCAAGTCAGTCATTGATCTAAAACATTTCATGGGCTCCTTTGGACCCCAATAGTCAGCATTATAAGGAGCTCGGATGTGACTTGGACAAACCCTACTTTCACTGGTCACTTATCTTGACCCAGTTGGCTTGTGTGCCTTCTCAAACCCAACTTTTCCTCCTGTAGGTCATAGAAAATCATTTCTCCTGAGTATAGTGTAATTTCTCACACTGAATATTCTGTAATTGTGTTTTTGGATGAACAGTACAAAAACTAAAATGAAGTCGTAAGACAAACTCACGTTTGTGATGCTGAGCTTCTGAATGATGTAATCTGGGCATGTTTTGTGCTCATTGACCTTCACCGAGATGTCTCCGTACTCCCGGGCACCCTCTTCCAACGATGGCCAGTATTCTGCGCACTTGTTCTACAGTTAAAAAAATCACCAATAACTCCAGTTTCCCAGTGAGACACATTTGCTTATTGCACATTCTTCAAACAAAAATACTAAAATAGACCTCAGTCATTGGAAACTCTCAAAACAGTCATCTATTCCTCCTTAAGCACACGTACACCTTAATATGGGAGCTTGAGGCAGCTTCCGTTTTCCACAACCAGGTCCTGAGGACGTGCTTCCTACTGCTCTGCCGAGGGCGCTCTGCCCAGAGTTTGCTGCCTGATGAGCGAGGGCGTGCTCGGTGGTCAGCAAAGCCACGTGGTCGCTGGTGGCTCACTTCGGGCTGGGGCGTGGGGAGGCTTTCACACTTCCTAGAGTCACGTTACGTGAATGACCACCCATCTGCATGAGGTCAGTTCTGTTTCAAGTATTCACAAACACTTGGGGCATCGGCTCATAGAAAGGTGCTGAACTCGCCCTGACCGGGGTGGCTCAGTGAGTTGGGCGTCGCTCCGCAAAGTGAAAGGTCACCGATTCCCACTCAGGGCACATGCCTGGGTTGCAGGTGTGGTCCCCAGTTGGGGTGGGTACAAGAGGCAACCGATCAATGTGTCTGAGAGGTGTTTCTATCTCACATCGACGTTCCTCTCCCTCTCTCCCTCCCTTCTCCTCTCTCTCTATAAATATATAAATAAAGTCTTTAAGAAGAGAAATGTGCTGAACTAACAACAATACTGCAAAGACACAGGAATCAAATTTAAGTCCAGCAGGTGGGCAGGAATGTTTAAATATTATTCACATGTACATAGGGGCATATATACGTAGAGATTTTTGTACACATATGAGAAATTCCAACCGAGTGTTCTACTGATTAAAATAGAGAACCGTCTCTTTTATTACCACACACGTGTGCACAGCCTGTGGACATGCAGACTGACCCCTCTCTTCCTAACCTCGGCCTCTGCCCTAAGAATCTTCTGGGCCCTCACCCTGTTTCCTTCTTCGCATCGCGTGACCATGACAATCACTGTGGCTTTCTGTTCCCAGATCATCCTCCAAAAATCGCCAACCGTCTCATCCCTGGGACCTAGGAGGTGAACAAATGCAAACTAAGAAATCTCCTGTTTAAAGGGCTGAAAAGCAAGGTTTCAGAAGAATCCCAAACAATCCGATAGGTTACCTTGTGCAGCGATGTACTTCCTGGGCTCTTTGAAACCCTGTTCAAACACACAGAAAGGGACACGTCATTTACAGAACGTTATTCCGTTGCACGCAACCAGGGGCGGAAGGCCATTGCATCCGAGCCACTGTTTCTTGGTTGTGGGTTTCCCCGGGCATTTGCAAGCCTCAGGTGGGTTTTAGTAATGCATCGTCAGGAGTTTGTGCTAAACATGTCAGGTGGCATTTACAAGCCATTGTCATGACTTCATGTATCGTTGCTCTACACCCGGAACAATTTTAAAAAACTAGGCTTCCTCCTCACTGGCGGCGGTACAGGGGTTTACAGGGGTGATCCCACACTGCCTGCTAGACCTCAAGCGTCCTTATGAGATGTGTAGTCAGTTTGGGGATTTTCACTCAATTTCTTCTAATAAATCATCCTGTGGTTACATGTCTACCTAGACTCCCTTCCAGAGAAGAGAGGCAGCGACATTCATTCCATCGTCTGCAAACACCGGCGCTCCCCACGCCTGCTGCCAAGGGGAAGGAGGGGTACCAAGGCAGATACGATCCAGGGCTAATTTCTCCCAAATTATCTGCAAATCCTTCAGTTCACCTCATTAGCCAGGGAAGCCCTTCAGAGAGAGAAACTCTGCCACAAGATGAAACCCAGTCACACGGGCCGCAAAAACGTCACGACTAATTTCGGTAGCTTCCTGAAGCTTCGCATGACACAGTATGACGATCCGTTGGTTTACGCAACAGGCAGTTGTTGAGGGGCTGCCATGTGTCAGCGTGGGAAAGCTCGCAGGAGCACACAGCTCTGCTGGGGACAGAAGGGTGGTCCATGGCGTAATTGCCATATGCATTTGAGTAGAAAACAGGGGGTTTTGTGTAGTAAATTACATTTTTAACTACTGCAGATAAATTCCCATGCACGATATTTGTTCTTGAATGGCTAGAATGAGCGGAGCATGGGGCAGGGGAGCGTGTTCCCGCTGGCCAGCGATGCTGTGTGACTGACGCCCGGCGGTGGGGGCCAGGCAGGCCCGGGCATGGACCCCGGCCCCGGCCTTTGCCTCTCGAACCAGGACAAGGCAGGTGAATACCCAGAGCCCCCCAGCGCTCACCTGCACAATGACAGTGCACACGGGGTGGGGGGGCAAATGTGGGCTCTTGTGAGACATACCTGCCTTGGCCGTTTAGTCTAACATCCTGGGCACCGGAGCATTTTGATTCTTAGAATCATTTTTGTCTGTAGAGAAAAATCTTATGCCCTACGTAGCACCGACAGCAAATAATACATAACCATTCTTGCAAATATTAGTGATTTTGTTGTTTGGAGCAGTGATATCATGGGCTTACTTCAAACCATCTCAGGCAACACTTCTAAAATTTTGCATGGCAAGAAGGCACGGAATCAAATGATGAAGATATAAAATAGCCCGATGTCAGCAGGCCACTCACATCGATGTAGCTGGCGTTTATATAGTTGGCGCCTACGTCTCCATTGATTTCAGACAGCTCAACGCGGTTATAGTCATCTGTCCAAAGAGAAGGAAGACGCGTCAGTGCGACCACGAACAGCTAAGCCGGCACACGTGGCAAACCGCTCTCAAGGACACTTACAAGGAAGGATGTCCACGTAACGGTTCTTATTCTGGTTGCAGGATTTCCGAGCCTCCTTGATAGGGAACTTGCTGAATACCCGTGGGATGCTCTGAAAGACACCCACACAAAGGTCCCTGGGTCACAGAGGGCTCAGCGAAAACAGTGTGGACATGAGACAGGCTGTAATGTGATTCCTTTATGCAGATGGACAAGGTGCGTGCAGCCGCTGAACCGAATGTGGGGAACGGTGCAAAAAGCACTTTATAAAAACCAACACATTCCTCATTGGGAGAATAAATTCTCCGAGGCAGGAAATTTAGGATTAATTGTTCTACCATTTTAAAATTCATTTAAAAACACCATAATATTGCAATAACAATATATGGTGTCAGATGGGTACTCGAGTTATTGGGGTGATCACTTGTATGTTCTCCAATTGTCTAATCATGGAGCTGAATACCTGAAGCTAATATAATATTGTATATCAACTGCGATTTAAATATAAAAGGGGAAAAACAAACAAAAACTCATAGACACAGACAACAGTATGGTGGTTGCAAGAGGGAAGAGGGTAGGGGTTAGTTAAGGGTGAGGAGGGTCAAAAATATGGTGCCGGAAGGAGACTTGACCTTGGGTGGTGAAAACAGCGTGATATACAGACAATGTATCATAGAATTAATTGTACACTTGAAACCTATGTAATCTCATTAATGAACGTCACCCCAATACATTTAATAAAAGAAATAAACAAAACTCAAAGACAAAAACCAAACCCACAGTTGGCTGATTACTGAGAATCCAAGGACAAAATCCGCCACGTAGGTTTTGTGACACAATTTCATAATATGTGTTAATACAACGAAACATTGTTTTGGAATATTGACCAGTTTCCTATGAGTCTCTCTTCTGGTTGGTCAATTTCTGCTCAGAAGATCTGCTTTGATGACGTTGCAATATGGTGTGTGATACATTAAAAAGGCGCATTTTAACCGGGTATCTGGATCACTGAGTAGAATTCCCCCTTGCAAACCAAGAAGAGCACCCACCTGGAACTCGGCCAGGAAAAGTCTCCCCTCGTCGGCCATCTTTCTCTTGTAAGTTTCCAGCAAAACATCGGCATGGATGGGCTCCACGTTCATCAGCTGTTTCTCATCATCTTTAAGCAGATTAAAGAGTCAAGGCCAGAGTCTCTCTTTCAAAGGCTCACTTTCCCGCCCACTGAATTTACAGCTTGGATTTAATCCTTGCTGATTAAATAAGTATATTTAGGCTTTGCCATTGTGGCAACAGGTGTGGTCCAAGTTAGATAAAAAGTGTGGAATTCTTATTTTAAATGAATGGATTCAAATGGGGGGGCAAGTAATTCATCGGTTAAAAAAAAGCATCCTTACCCCTCTCAACGAGCTCCTGCTGCTCATCCAAATTGCTGTGAAAATAAGAAGTGTCAGTTCCTATTCTTCAACATAGAATTCAGTTGGCATTCAATTCATATGTCGCAAATATATTAAAGGAAGGAGGGAATGGAGGCAAGGCAGATAATGAAGGAAGAGAGGAGAGGAGGGGAGGGAAGAGGAAGTGGAGGGGGAAGGGGAGGGGAGGGGGAAGGGGAGGCGGAGGGGGAAGGGGAGGGGAGGGGGAAGGGGAGGGGAGGGGGAAGGGGAGGGGAGGGGAAGGGGAGGGGAGGGGGAAGGGGAGGGGAGGGGGAAGGGGAGGGGAGGGGGAAGGGGAGGCGGAGGGGGAAGGGGAGGGGAGGGGGAAGGGGAGGCGGAGGGGGAAGGGGAGGGGAGGGGGAAGGGGAGGGGAGGGGGAAGGGGAGGGGAGGGGGAAGGGGAGGGGAGGACGGGAAGGAAGGAGAGTGGATAACGGAGGAGGGGAGGGGGGTGGAGAGCAAAGGGAGAGCGAGGAAGCAAACCAAGGGGTGGCTGCTAAATGGCGACAAGTGATGAAATTATTTTACTTTAAAACTCTGGTTTTTCATAAAGTGTGGTTGTCCCTGGCCAAGGGACTCCACATACATCCCTAAGTAGTTTTCTCCTTCCTTTTGTCACCGTCATTCCTAGATCCCTCTGACCCCCTTTGCATGGATAGACGCACGTCCTTGTCCCTGGTTAGTATTAAAAGAAATCTGTACCGTGATTAGTGAATGTAGGAAATACTAATATTTAACATAAGCCAATAAGGCCGTGCGGGGAACCCTGGGCCCAGGGCCCGTCGACGAGCCAGGCTTCGCGCCCCTCGGCCGCCCGCCCTCGCCTGCGCCCGCGCCCGCCTCGCAGGCGGCGCCTCGGCCGGTATCACGATCACTGGTATCACGGGGTCTCTGTCGGACGCGGCTCTTACCTGGATCTTTTCTTGTGCAGGTCATAGATTTTATAGAGAACAATGAGGAGGGCGATTGCAGTCACGACAATCAAAAAGACCAGGAATGTGATCAGTGCTTTAGAGTTATCTAGGAATGGAAAATCACACATGAAGAGAGATGATTATGCCATCCCGTTTGCTGGATCCTTTGAATAATCACATTTAAAGGGCTTAACACTTTAAGTCACATTTATTTCGAGGTTTTCAAAAAACAACATATTAAGCAGAGGGGTAGTTAGGGCAAGAACCCGGGGGCAGAAACGTGCCAGGCGTGTCCGAGCAACAGCAAGAGTGCCAGCACGCTGCGGGGGCGGGGGGGAGGGTCGGATTTGGGGGGCATTGTAAACTGCGTTCAGGCCATGCTGGTTCCGAGTCAAAAGCGTAGACCCTGCAGGATGTGGAGCAAAGGAGGAATATAGACTCTGACTTGTGCATCATACAGGCTTCTGTGAATACTTGTTTTGAATCCCATAATCCAGGCAAAGTAGGACCGGTCAGCCCGGGTCCAAAGCTCTGGAGTTGGGAGAGTGGCCCCGTGGAGCGGAAGTTGGGGACCTGGCAGGCTGGGCACAGGGCGGCCTCTCAGGAGGACGAGAGCCCAGTGTGCACTTGAGCATGTGAGCAAAGGAGTGGACGTGTGCGTGAGGGAGCTAAAGAGGAAGTGAGAGAGGCCACTTTGGAACGCTCTTGCCAGAAATCTTCCGAGAAAACGTCGGGCACCGGACATACATTTGCGGGTCTTCAACTGAGAGTTGCTATTTAAAGCTCTAAGCCTGAATCATTCATCAGGAGACTGGATGGAGAGGAAAGAAATCCCAAGCCCGAGCCCTGAGACTCGGCAACGTCAAAGGGCTGGAGGGAGAGTGGGAGCCAGCCAAGGAGACCAGCAAGTGAAGGAAGACGGACGCCCTGAGCGTGTGTCCAGGAGGGCGACCCAAAGGAAGAACTGCAGGGAGGGGCCCAGAGGCAACCACGACAAATGGTGCCGGCTGGTCAGGGCTGAAGAGCCCAGAGAACTGCCCCCTTGTTTTACTAGAAGGCAGGGCCTTGTGGGCTCGGCCCAGGGCAGGGCTGGTGGGGTCGTCAGGCCCGAGAGGAAACAGACGGGAGGAGCCGGAGCGAGGCAGGTTCTGGGCCGCCTCGGAGCGTGGCCGCCGGCTCCTCCAGGCCCGCGCCGCGCGCGTGTGACTCGTCCAGCTGGGGCCATGAGCCCCAAGCATCGGCACTGCCCCGAAAACTTGTTTACAGAATCGGAGAAGCTCAATGACACTGTTTGTATCATAAGGGATTATAAAATATTTATATGAGCATAAAATCAAAGCTGTCTGGCTGAATGCGTTCGGCATTTAACTTCAGGAACTTTACTAAATCTGAGCCACAATAGCTAAGTTTTTACTTGAGACTTAGTCAAGCGGTTTGGAAAAAGAAGCTGCTTCTATATCTTCCCTCTTTCGGAGACAAGGTATCAGTGATGGTCACGTGCACACGTGAGAGCGCAGAAGGTGGCGGGGGGCGGGCAGACGTAGAGCTTTCAGTAATTTAATTTTATTTGCCACACTACCAGGCAGGGAACACTCAAAACAACGTCCTAAGTCTTCTCCCTCCATCAGCTCGGCTCAGCTGCCGACACCCCAGTCCCCAGGCAGAGCGGCAGGCAATGCGCTCACGTGCGTTGGGGGCGCAGCTAAGACAACAGGAACGCACAGTGGGGCGCGCGGCTGCTCTCCTGACGAGGACATTTCACACGACTTTTTCCCATATGCACATTTATTTGTCTTTAAATGTTTTAATATTACTGATAAAAAAATCAAGTGGCCCTATTATTATGAGGCGATGCTAACCATCACTCTACTTGGGCAATTCGGGAGCAGGTCCACCACCTGCTTTTGCCAAGGGTGCTGTTGAGGGACAGACCAGGGGGAAATGGGTCACAGTCTCTAAACTACACAAAGCAAACACGCTTTGTTATGGACACGCGCAGCAGTCAGAAACATAACCATAATTTAATAATCTTTGCAGATCAATCCTTTGAGGAATGATTTTATGAAATTGACAATCTTGTATTCATTGAATTTCTTAATTTGCCTTTAAGATACTGTATTTTAATAGGATGCTTGTGTCTATCTGTTTTTCTCAGATAACTTGAAATATCATGTTTATAAAATATATGCAATTTAAACATTTAATAATTAAACATGACATGAGTATAAAATATTCAAGCTTTGTGTTAAACCATTTTTAAATATAAATATAAAAAATAGCCAAGAAATGACTTACATGATGTTGATTGAGAAATAGTAATTCTAGGCCCGGCATGTTTCCCATTGTGTGCATAGACCTGAATTTCAGTAAGAAAAGGGAAAATAGCTTTCTAATGTGAATTTATATGTTATAATATAACACATACAGTATTTCTCATACAATAATTTTTATTTTCATTAAATGTATACTGGCTATCTTTAATTTAAAGTTGCCACTTTAGGGTTATGCCAGTATTTTATCAAATATTTTTTAAAAGAAAATATTTAACAGTGAAAAAGATATAAAGAAATCTTAATCCATTCAGCAAAAATATTATATCAATAAGAATAAAGAAACCGAGGGAATAAAATCCAACACATCAAAATATTCATAATTTAAAGTTAAATTCCCTATCATTAGGCTACTAGCTTCACATTTTATTTTAAAAGTAAATATCTACCATACAGTGCTCACATGAGCAATACATAAAAGGCACATAAAAATTCTCCAGTGGCAAACTAAGCAATATAATGTAGCCATCACAATGTTCCTCTTTATGGCCCAGGAATGTCATTGATGTCCAGCTGGCAAAGTCTGATGCTCCAACTGACGTGGGGTAAAATCTACAGTAAAGACGCCACCAGCTTCCGCTCCTGCATCCCGCGAGACTGAACACAGGCGGTGTGAACCCCGCGTGGCGTCGCGGGGAAACTGACAAGGGCTACGAAGCAGGAAGGTTGTTGGGCAAAAGCAAAAACAAACTTAAGTAAAAATAAATTCATTGAAAAAAATCAAGTGGATAATATCTTTAAAGAGATTAATGACAAAGAAAAAAAATTTCTAAACTTATTAATCTGGGAAATATATATCTGAGCATTTACCCTATGAAGGCTATGTGATTTCTCCAGGAATCACAGAATAAACATGCATGTGCATCACATGCTGAACTGTAAAAAAGATTTTAGAAATTCCAAGTAGCTATTGTAAAAACAAATTGTCTTTTATATCCGAATAATAGCAAAAAAAGAAAAGAAATTCAAGCACCAGAAATATAGAAATGCTGTCTTAAAAAAAACAGGTAAATTAAAAACTTTCAAATTGCAGTTATAAACTCTTTAGGAATTATCAATAACAAGAGCACTTTACTCTAGTAATGCACTCATTATATAATTTTGTCAGTCATGGAGGAATTAGTGATAAGCAATATAGATATGGGATCTAGTCCACATTTTCTAAAAGCTTTAATTTTCTTTAATTAACAAAAAAAGAAAAGAGAAATAAACGGCCAAAAAACCAGCAGAAGAATATCAAAAGACACCTGCAAAAGAGAAAAGTACTAAAGTAATGATTATAAAAATAGCTTTATCAGTTTGTGAGGCAGCAGCCATCACAAGGAGTAAGGCAAACAGGATGCCCCTCGCGAAGGCGGGGATGGGGGCGCAGGCCTGAAGCACACGCGTGCCCTCCGCATGCGTGGTGAAGACCAGAAGTCTTGAAGAGCAGAGGAGATGGTGAACACCTCAGCAATGATCTCCTCACTTGGATTTTAGGGTTGCTTTTTAATATGATGTTCACCTATCGCTTTCCAGAAAAACTGAACCTGATTTGACAAATGGGAGAAGAAAATTCTGGAAGGAGAGAAGAGCATCATGTATTGATGATATCATATATTAATGATATACAATAGGTTGGTAACCTAAAGGCAATATATTGGTGTGATATTGAAGGTCGAAAATATTCAGACAGAATATTTGCTTTAAACTACTCTTTTTCGTACAGGGGTGAAAAGTTTGCGGTCGAACTTTTAAGACTTTTAAAGTGTGATTGCGTTAGGCTTCAGAGTTTCTCGAGTTCACATGAGCCGCGGTCCCAGTTATTCAAGTGCCAGATAGTAAGTGTTATAACGGATGTCCGTACTATAGTGATTACGGAAATTATAATCTTACCTCAAAGTCGTAGTTTGTTGAATAGTAAAGATTGTGCACAAGGAATTGGCACTTTTCTTTATTTTGACTTTCAACCAAGGTGCCCTCAGTTTTGACGTCCAAAGAGTAGCTTAGGTTGGGGCCGTTGATGTGGTCGGGCATCTGACAAACCACCATCATGCTGTTATCTGACTTCGGCGAAACGTTCAAATGCTTGACTTCAGTTGGCGCTACCGAAAGGAAGAAAGGTTGGTCAATCATTTGGTACGCACTTACGTGACGCTATATGTTTACAACATAACAATTTTCGGTGTTCATTGGGGGACATGGAGGAGAAAGTCACAGCAGTACTCGGGCAAAAAACATTTTAACAAAACATCTAGAAATAAATCACTTATTCACTCAGTGACTGTTGGCACGTAGGTTATACTCAAAGCCTTGGGTGTCCATGCCGCCCTGCAAGGAAGCTGTGCAGAATTACAGAACCGAGGGAAAGCGGGGGGCCGGCGAGGGGCCGGGGGCGGGAGGAGACGGAGCCGGGATGCTCTGTGCCCTTCTTTCCTGGCTTCGTCGGCAGCGGCGGCGCCTTGTCCATTTCCTGTGATGCCATGGAAATCGAGGATTGGGACAAAAGCGTGATACTCGAGAACCTGGACTTTTTCAACCCAAACCGCAAGGACATTACGAACATTTTATGTCCAGCCTTGAGTGAGAAGGGGTTCCTTTGTGCACTTGGTGCCAGCAAGGCTGCCCTTGTCGCCTTGCCCACGCGGCCTCTGTCCCTGACCTACCGGGCCTAACGTTTACATCAGAGCCGGTTTAGCTCAGCGTCTGGAAATGACAGAGAGGCCAGACAGGGAAAAGGGAACCCCAGGCGGACAAGGCCACACAAAGACAGACAAATGTTAATAAGACACTTTTGTCTGAAGAGGCGTTTGGTCAGGGAAGCGGAGTTAGCAAGGGAATGCTTTCTGAGGGCGACATCATTAGGTGTCTGACCAATCGTACTTAATATTTCTGGGCAGCGCAGACAACGGCAGACACTGCGTTTCCAGTCTAAGCGGTTAGGTACTTCCGTGCCCATATGGTTACGCGTGGTACCAGTTAACATGCCCTCATGCTTTGCTTTTATAGTTCTTATGATTATAGCTGAAGAATACAGAGAACCCATGACAAGTTTTCAAATCATTGTACTTTAAATATTATAAACCCTGGATGTGAACAAATAAGACAGATTCATGTATTTCCCAAGTGAAGCATAAAGAGAGAGGTGCTATATGTTAATTGTTCCTACTTTGCTCCTTGACATGCAGAGAAAAACTGAACATCGAAGCGTATGACTTACGTGCTGCTTCTGTCCGAAATGTGCAGTTCCTTTGAGGTCCCTCACGGTTTTCCCTGACATGGGCAGAAACTGTCACCTCGTAGTCTGTATAAGGGTCCAATTTTTTCAACTCAGCATAGGTCTCCTTGGCAAGTTCATAGCAAATGCCTTCTTAGGGAGAAAAAGAAAACATGTATTAAGTTATTACAAGTCAAGATCACCACGTATTTCATTTGATGTCTCGGTGACATCATTTCTAGCCGACCGCAAACAGAGTGATTGAGAAAATAGGTGTAAATACATCCTTGGTGTTCAGAAGTGCATACAATGATCAGCCATTGTATGGAATAAATTCCATTGTTATAAACAAACTCAAATGTTCAAAAATTATGGTTTCATTTAATTAATTTGGTACACAAATGATGTAGTAAGTCAAGGCACATTTGTAAAGACGGCCTCTTCCCTTCCTGAGAAAGCACCTCACAGTGGATATTACGGAAATCTTGAGTTGGGCTGTTTCAGAAAGATGATTTTTTTAAATGAACCTTTTTTTAATACTTAACCTCCAAACTTGGACCATTGATATTAGCTGCTGTTAGGGATTTTAGATGCACAATCCATTTGATCATGAATAATCAGTTCTACTCAACAGTAATTCATGACGTGAGAAATGAGGGGAAAGTTCATGCCAGTAGTAAAATACGAGTGACCTGTTGTTGAAAGGTGCGTGAGACCGAATAGGTGTAAGGGTGAAAAAAAAATTTATGAAAGAAAAGATGATTTTGAGTTTAGGGACAAGCCCAAGCAAGACCGTGGATTCTAGCTGGGGGGGGTGGGGGTTGCATGAATGTTAGGTCCTTGTTTAAATGTTTTAACATTCAGGCAGAAGAATCAGCGTTTGTGAAGATGAAAAACCACTAGTCGCTGACTGTTTCTGAGTAGTCAAGTGACATCAAGACAGAAGGGTTAAAGGAATGTTTGCATGGCACCCAGCTACTACATAGCATTTACGACGACAATAGTATTAACACAATCAGCCCTGACTGGTGTGACTCAGCGAGCTGAGCGTTGTCCCACAAACCGAAAGTTCCCTGGTTCAATTCCCAGTCAGAGTACATACCTGGGGAGCAGGTCAGGTCCCCAGCCGGCTTGCTTTTGTGTTGCTTCTTCTGTCCCGTCCCTGTGACATCGATCATTAAAAATAAATAAATAAAACCTCTTTAAAAATATTAACACAACCATGATTAAAAATAATGCATAGATCTCTCTACGTGCCAAGCACTGTTTTAAGTGGTAGAAGTGAGTAAACTAGCCATTCTCACATCTGATTTTAAAGATGAGAAAACTGGGCCATAGAGGCATTAAGCCAGGGGTGTCCAACCTTTTGGCATCTCTGGGCTGCACTGGAGGAAGAAGAGTTGTCTCGGGCCACACGTTAAATACACAAACACTAACGAAAACTTAGGAGTTAAAAAAAAAAAAGGGCCCGTGCACAGTTTTCGTGATATCCACCACCACAGATAAGCAAAAAAAAAGGTCCTCATATAATAACCCGAATTACGATGCAGCCCCTTAAAACTGTGGAGCAGGTCCCAAGTCCGTGATCACTAATATAGAAAATGTACCTATCTAAGTAATAAAACTTAGTCATAGAACTAGGTCGTATTTTAAGTAAATGTATGATTTTGTGTTGAGCCAAATTCACAGCCATCCTGGGCCGCAGGTGGCCTGCGGGCTGCTGGCTGGCCACCCCGGATTAGGTGACCCGTCTGCGACCTAACGGGCAGGAAGAACAAGGCCAGGATGGGACTGGGCGTGGAGGTTCCGGGTCCCACTGTGCCTACTGTCCCGTGCGGGCGAGGGACAAGGGTCCGCGGTGGGGCTGAGCTTCTGCTTAGCGTTGGGCATACTCCTCCTCTGGTCCCGCTGGCTGTGCCTGGGGACCTGCAAAAACTCTGCAAGAAAAGATCTGATCTAACACGTGCACATTCCCTGTCTCCGTGATGTGTCCACTGTCCCCATGTCACCAGGGGATGCTAAAGAGTGAGATAAGATGTCAGTTCTAGCCTGGTTGAGGGTCTGTTTCTCAGGAAGCCTCGAAGCTGGAGTCAATCGACTTAACGCCCACCATTCTGTATCAAAATAAATGGGGTTCATGGAGTTCCAAGAGCTTTTATTTCAGCCGGTTTGACAGCCAGTATTGTGTGTGGGGGGGGGGTCAAGGTTTGTAAGGTGTTTGTTCGTGAGCCCGGATAATGAGTTCCAAGCAGTAGAACTCACTCCCATACTATTTGGAGGACACTAACGAGCATTGTCTTCCAGAGACAGTCTTTTCTCCAGCCTTTGGAGTGTAAAGATGGGAAGACCAAGAAAGGCAAGCAGAGCATGGGGCGTTCTGGGCTTCAGTCATCGCTGGCCGGAGAGCCCACAGGGAGCAGACATGGCTCTGGAGCGAGGCGCTCAGGCGGCAGGCCACCGTCGTTGTACGGAAGGCGCCAGGCTCGCTCTCACGGCCCCCGTTTCTAGAACGTTCCAATTCCCGATCTCTCTCTCCCAACTCAGAAGTATATGCTATGTAAATTACCTGACTTGCAACAAAGAAGAAAATTATGGAAAAAAGTTGAAGGCGGCTCCCAGGTGATCCTTGCTTGTTGCTGATATACCGTGCAGTTCAATGTCGGCACAATGCCCGGAACTGTGGAGAGCGTCGGAACAAAATGGGAAAATCAAGATACAAGGAAAACATTGTTGACCTTGTAAGCATCCCTTACGCAGAGCCACATTCTAAGTAACGCTGAGTTAATAAAGGCATTTTTAAAAAGACGCCTGGTCCTATTAAATTTGCTTTTGAGATCATTTAACCAGGTCATCGTGACTTGGAGACACTCCGCTGACTCGCAGATTATCTGGGGACCCCCCTCCCTCTCCTGCATGTCACTGTCCGGCTACCCAGGATTTCTAGGCTTCCTTGTGCTGAAAATCCGTCACCGGCAGGCCTGATGCATCCCATAGTCATTATTTGAAGGAGCCCTTCCCCGGGCTTCCAGAAACTTGTCACCAGGACTTGAGATGAAGACCGGGACACAGTCTCACTTCGGATGCACGAGGTGCCGTGTACATTAAAACAGACCCGGCTTACGTAGGACTCAGCGCGTTCTCGCACCTCCCCACACCTACGACATCCCCAAATCAGCCGAGACAGACAGCGTTTGCCACACGCTCACCATCCCGGTTCCCCCCGGTTCCCCCACCGCCCTCCAGCCTGCTCTCCGTCGCTGCGGGTGCAGCTTGTCTTTGGACCCATTGCATTCGGATAAAACCAGGGTCAGCGCTTCTCAGGCCGAGCACACAACACTCCGCGTATGGCCCCGGGGAGCCGGCCCGCCCGCGACCGTGGGGAGTCATCTCATTCGTCAGCCTCTCAGCTCTCCACTCGCTGCGGCCGGCCACGTGCGTTGCTCCCCGGCTTTTGGCTGTTAGGAGGGGAGCTGCTAGGAGTACCTGCGCGGAGTCCTCACGGGGACACGTTCTTTCCTCTGGGGTCAATACCTGCGGTGACATTGCTGCGTCATCGCTTTACCTCCCCACCAACGGGATGGCCGGGATGGCCGGTCTGTTTAATTTTAGCCGGGTGAGTCGGCGCGCCACGCCGTCACCGCGCCGCTGTCCGACGGCGTCTCCCGGACAACTACCAATATGAGGCATCCTTTTGATAGGCTTATGGGCCATTCATGTGTCTTTTGCGGGGCGGGGTAAAGCATATGTTCAAAACGTTTGCCCGTTTTGAGCTGAGTCACTCAATGTCTCATTTTGTAGTTGAAAGAAGTCTGTATTTTGGGAGAACGGTCTTGGTTTAAAGAAATTAATTGTGGGTATTTTTCCACAACGTATGGCTTGATCTTTTATTTCCTTAATGGCTTTATTCGAAGAGTAAGAATGTCCAATTTTGAGGACATCCAATTGAGATAATTTTTTCATTATTCTTGCTTTCTGTGCCCTAAGAAATTTTGACTACACTAAAGTAGAAAAAAAAAATATCTCTCTTATGTCTTTACCTAGACATGTTATAGTTTTAGCTTTAGTTTAGGTCTGCAATCTATTTTGAGTTAATTTTTGTTTTTGGTGAGAGGTAAGGGTTGACACTTGTCTTTTTCTATAGGGATACCAGGACCACTTGTTGAAAAAACTATGCTTTCCCTCACTGAATTGCCTTTGCGCTTTTTTTAAAAAATGAATTTTTTTCTGGGATTCCTAGTTTGTTACATTGATTTAGAAAAACTGTAATAAATGTAGTACTCGCTATCCAAAAATATTAATTTTGTTAGTTACAATGAGGACATAGCTTTTATAGAATTTTATTTTTCATCTTGTGGTTTTGAATCATTTTGAGGGTTACGCTAATTCAGGTAGCTCTTGGAGCACACAGCTGCCTTTCCGCATCAAATTTAGGGTCACTTTAGTCTGTTCCATTAAAAAAAAAAATAAACAAGTTCAGCAATGTGGCAGATAAAAGATATAGAAATGGCCATTAAACTCCGGAAGCTCTGTTCCAAATCATTAGTCATGAATCCGAATTACAATAAGATACCAGCTGACAGCTACCGGGATGGCTGAAATAAAACAGAGATCGCCCTGAGTTTTGGTGGGGGTGTGGAGGCACCAGGGCCTCCTGCGCTGCGGGCGAGCGGGGAAGGGGCGCCCACTTCGCAAAACAGAGGGTCAGTTCTTCCAAATGCAAAACATGGCGTTGCCACAACCCCCTGCCCCCAGTTCCAGTCCTAGGTACAAGCACAGCAGAAACGAGAGTGTGCCTACCCCCAAGTATGCAGCATGGCTCATAGCAGCGGGACCCCTAATAGCCAAAAAGCAGAAACAACCTACGTGTCCCTCAGCGGACGAAGACACAAACAAAATACATGAGGTGTACCCATGTGATATTATTAGGCAGTAAAAAGAAAACTGAAGCATCGGTACACGTTACAACGTATCAAATGCATCTGGAAAACATTATGCCAAGTGAAAATAGTCGGTTACAAAAGACAACATGTTAAATGACTTCACTTCTATTAAATGTCCAGAATAGGCAAGTCCACCCAGGCAGAAATGTATTTTCCCTTGTCATATATAGCCAAGTGTTAAAATGCCTCTAAAATATCACTCCATCTTCTGGGCGGCTACGACATATCCCCAAATCATGTCCTGATTTTACTCAAACCTGAGTATCCATGTTTCAAAAGGTGAATTTACCCATTTATGTTTATAGTGACTTTTGAGATGCCGAGGCATGTTTCTGCTATCTCGCCTGATTGTTTTTGCTCGGTGTTCTCCCACCCTCTCTGCCTCGTCCTGCTCCCTCCCCCTCGGCCCGTCCAGAACCTCCTCCTTTTCCCTAACCCCCTATCCCCGGCAAACATGCACAGTTTGTTTTTCATTCCAGGACTTACTTCTACTGCTTATAGGCCATGCCATCGGTTCCCATTTTTTGTTATTTTTTAGCGGCCACTCATAAATTGTCATACACATATAACATACATTTTCTAGCAGATTCTAAATTTAATTGGACTCTCTCTGGTTCCCCTCAATATGAGCGGGATTGTGGCACTTCATACTTCCTTCCCCTCTTCATCTCCCGGGTGCTCTCATTGGCCAGAATATTATTTTCCCACTGCCAGTGGGTATTATACTCTTGTTATTATTTATACTGCTGGCATTTTAGCAATACCAGTTATTATTGGGGCATCACTTCTTGGGCTTACCACTGTGTTTTAGCTGCTTGTCGCTGCCTTCTGACCTTGGCAGGGCATGAGGGGCAGAGGGCAAGGCCGCCCCATGAAGGGGCGGTTCCCCGGGACAAGGGGGCTGAACTGGGCAAAGAGGAGATGCGCCTGCGCGGGCCTCGCCGCGCGCCGCCCCCGCCAGCGCACAGCGCCTGCCATGTGCGGCCCAGACAGCAGCGAGACCTCGCCCGGGTCTTTATTTCCACATTCTACTTTAAAAAGTTGACACAGACACAAGTACATTTCTGAATCCCTTGTTTCCAAATCTGTAACATCAATTTCTGTGTTACTCAGCGAATCATAACAATATAAAAAGAAAATATTTTTACCTATATGTGTAAGTATTATACTCACTTTTAGGTTCTGTTTTAATAGTCTGCATTATTTTAACAACGGTATAATCATCATAGGACACTTCTGAAGTACAGGTGTAGTTTTTATCGGGTTCTAGGTCTGTTGGGGTAGTTCCATGTTCAGATAGAGTCTTCTCATCTGAAAGAAGTATTGCATACGAATGTATTAATGCAACATATCATATAACTTCCTTTTTAGATTTCACATTTATAATTACTATCTGTTAGATTGCAAACCTATGCAAATAGCAAAAATAATAAATAAAAGATCTTGAAAACTATTCTCACAATGCATTATTTTACCACACCCAATTTTAAAGACCATATTAGGAATCATAACGGATTCTGAGAATGTGTCCAGTTGAACCGATGGAGTCAGTTCACGGTTCTGCGTTCCGAGCGGAGGCTGCACCTGAGTGAGCTGCCCCCTCACAGAGGTGTCCCTGTCTCGTCTTCAGTCCTCACACACCCGGGCTGGCTTTCCTCGCGCCGCCTGCATCGCGGCTGGACATCTCTCCTGTCCTCCTCCTGGGCGGCTGTGCCTCTGTCCCTCTCCCCGACCGTGGCCTAGCGATGCCTTTATGCAGAGGGAGGGAGCTTCCAACTCAATCAATTCAAACGAAGAGGAATTGAGAAAGCCTTCGATCATCAGTCATTAAAAAGAAACGCTGTCTCAGTTGTTGCCCGCCCCCCCAGCTAATGTAAATGCAAACTCATGCCCTAGGCTGGCCCCGGCCCCTGGCCCTCGCATCGGAGCGAGCGCTCCTGAAGTTGTCTGAGGGGGCTGCTGGTGCAGGGCTGGCCGGGGCAGCTCTGGCGTCACGGGCGCTGACGCGTGCTCCCCTTTCCTGCCCCTGGTGGCGCGGCACCCCTTCTTTATGAGGCCCTTTTCTGGTCGCCGCTCCCACGGCACCTCGTGTTTAGCAGTTGCCAGGAGAATGCTTGCGCATGGATTGACTTTTACTATTCCAGAAGTTTTTATTTCAGGGGGAGTGTTTGTCGGTTTTGCATATTTGGGTGGTGTAGGGAATACAATGATTTGACTCCAAACATACCAGAGAGAGAGAAAGAGAAGAAGCTGGAGGAGGAGGAGGGGCAGAGGGAGGAGGAGGGGGCGGGGGAGGGGAGGGGAAGGGGCGGGGGAGGGGAGGGGAGCGGAGAAAGAACGAAGGAAGGAACAACTTCCTACCAAAAACCAGTCCCTGCTCAGAGCTACATCGATGTCTGTACTTAATTTTTCTTTCACAAGCAAGCTTTTTGGTTTCTTCCCAACGTAAACAAATAGAAGTGTCTGCATTTTCCTCTTTTGTACAGTTTTTTAACTTAAAATTGTCAGGACCTGTCAAGAAGAAGATGTAGAAATGGGTGATTAATATTTCATACTGTGTGTCCTATGCTCAATTGTATTCACTGAAATGATATTCATGACATAGACATTATATTCATGATAAGCATTAAGGTTATTTTTGAAAAATTCTAAACTCAGGGTGTTGTGTTTCTTGATTATTGTTTATTCTTTTTTTTTAACATCACACATTTGGGTAGCATTTTCCTTAGAATTTATGCTCCTTTTAAAAAGCAGAGCCCAACAAACATCCAGATAAAGTTGCATTTTTGCACATTTTAAAACGCTTAGTCCATTTTGTTTTCTTTTTTGTATCTTCATTTTTTTCCCATTTACCCTTTGAGTTTTCGCGGGCTGAGTCTCACACAGAGTGTGGGGGCTTCCCCTCGGGGAATGCCTTTTTCAAAAGGTGTTCCTTTCTGCTTTTAACTGATAACTTAATTTGCATAATATGTAGAAACAGTGAATAAGTTAAACAACATTTTTCAGAAGAACATTAGACTTAACCTACTTAAATATTACTGAATGGATTGATAATCTTGAATTACTACAGGACGTGAGAGACTCAACAAACCGACACAGCCCTGCCCCCGTTTCCTGACGGACTTTGTTAAGATGTGGTGCAGGGCAGGTGGCGAGAGCGCTCAGGCCCCTCTCCCAACGGAAGCTTATCTAGCAAAACCTCTGGGTGATCCTCACATGACTAATAACTCTCCTTTTTTGTGTGTGAAAGTAACAACTGTTCCAGAAACATCAAATCCTTGACTTTGTTATTTCCGCAGTGTATTCCGGACACACCTGTGTACATGTATACATGCACACGTATATATTTAATGACTTGAATTAAGTAGAGGAGAAAAAAAAAAAAACCTCTTGTGGATAATCAGTCCATGGGGTAACTTGCAGCGAATCTGCAGGAACCGCTCCATAAAGGAAGCATCAGCAGCGGGTAAGGGACCGCCCAGAAGGCGTCTCTGGGTGTCTAATTTTCGCTGGCTGCGGGGAGCAGGGGGTCCACACCCTCTCATCTGGCTAGCTTCCTTCCCTCAGCCCTGTCCTGTCCCCTGGTGACTCCTGGGAACCCTGGAAGGCATCACACACGACAAGGTGCTGTTTCTGTAATTATGCAAGTAGCCATCAATTTATACTTACCTGGTGGGACATATAATTTTAAAGTCTTAGGTGGATCAGCACATGAATCCTGACTTATGGAAACATTGTAAGTTTTACATTCCTCCAGGCCAGAGATAACACCGTTTTCACATTTCATATGGGAACATTTCACGTCAGGCTTAACCCCGCCATGCAGGTGTAGGCTGGCATTAAATGTATTTCCATTGACATTTTGATAAGTCACAGAGATGTTTGTTAATGCCTTTTCTGAAAGAAAATAAAACAGGGAGGGTTATTTTATTTTTTTCAGAACTAATAAAGCTACATTTAACGCAAACTCCTTAGCATATGTTTTCAAAACGATCACGTCGTTCAATGCTCCATCCCCAGGGACGTGGGGGCAGGAGGGACGGAGCCGGCGCCCCGACAGCACCCTTCCCGAGCTCCCTCTGCTACTTCGCCGAAGCCCCTCTCTTGCAAGTGCACATCTGGATGGTTCTTGGAGGAGTGTCCGTCTTCTTTTCTGGACTGGACACAGCATGAGGGCAAGGACCGGTCCGCCGGGACCTCGCTATAAACCCAGGTCCTCGCCTGCCAACTCCCACGGGTGGTGGGGTGCATTCCTCTCTTGCTGAAATGACAACTGGGCGGACAATGTGTCGGACACACCTCTTTTTGCTCTACAGTTTCCTTTGCATCCCAAAACATCGTTCTCGATCTCCTGTTCCTCCAAACATGCGGAACATGAATTATTTAGAGATCCAGGCTTCATTGTTCCTTGACTTACGTAAAATCATGGAGAAGAAACCCTCCTCAGCGACTCCCTCAGGCTTAGCTGGCATTCTCACCTTTACTTAAACACATTCTGCTGACTGCGGTAACAGTATCCTTTCAACAAATACTAATTTATTCACTCGTTTATTAATGCAACAAAAATTAGTAAGTCCTTAGTATTATATTTAAGACACTGTCCCAACCGCTAGGAACACGAATGATCGGCCTTTAACAAACTAGAGCCTAACGTGGAGACAGACACGGGTAGGAATCACAGAAGGCAGGGAAACACCTAAAATGAGATCACGCACAAAGTTCTATGGGAGTAGACGTGGAGATCTGTTCAGCCTGGAGGACGAGGAGAGGCTTTCCAGAGAAGGCGACTGAGTTTGCCTTTTATTTATTTATGTATTTATTTTTTATACCGAAAGTATCAGAGTGACACTGGTTAATAAAATGATACAGTCTCAAGAGTCCAATTCTCTGATTCCCTAGGTCGCTGCTGGTGGGCATGAAAGCTGGTACAAGGCGGATGGCCCTCGGGACTATCGTGCTAAGTGGTTAAGTCAGAGAACATCGAGAACCATCACTGTCTCGTTCATATGTGGGATATAAAACTGAAAGCAACAACCGATCAGTTTGCATTTTAAAGCCTGATCAGAAGGTAGAAACATCGATGGAATCCCACACAGAGAGCAGGAAGAAACGTGGCATGTGGAAGTATTTCCATATTCTGTAAGTGAGGAGCGGAGGGGCGGCCTCCCAGGGTCCCCTGAGCCGGCGGGGCACGTGCGTGAGGCACCCCCAGGGCGGCCGGCCGGCCTGCCGAGCGCACAGAGCCCTGCCCTCGGAGACTGCCGATGAGGGCTCAGCCCAGGGCGTGAAGAAGGACTCGGCTTCCCCCGGGAAGAGGAGACACACGTCGGAAACAAATGGACACAAAGCATCGTCAGGCATCTGCTCTGAGCCAGCTGGCCGCGGCCGAGGCCGAGATAGAGACACAGACGTGTTTTTTCTTCTCGAGACACAGCTTCCTCCCCTCAGCCCTACCTGTCACCTGGTGACTCCCGGGAGGCATTATCCGCATTCCGTACCCGCCCCCATGCTTGACCCCACCCCGGGCACACTCGCTATCATTCCCTTTCACCGGCACCTGCCGGGAAGTGACGTGGCTTCCCCAAAGTGGTTCAGCGCGTGGCCACTACATGACTCCTGGTATGGAAATAATGACATCGAAGCCTCCGGCCCCCAACGGGGAAGGACGCGAGCTCTTAAGATTTGGAAATAATCATAGGTGAGAAATTGGAGCCCGCGAGCGGAGCCAGCGGGGGCCTCACAGGCCCGGCCGGAAGGCAATAATTACGCGCTCTCCGGAAGTGCCACGCGCTGCCTCCCGGGGGGGCAAACTTACCGCAGGATGGTTTAGCCGTCAAGGGAGCTGTAACAGAGGGAGAAAATCATGTTAGAATTTCCTTGCTCTGGTCACTTTGGGGCAGGGCGTTAGGTCGAGCCCAGAGGGTTCGATTTAAGAGGTCACACTGCATTGGCAATGCCCACACCAGGTGCTAAACAAACGGGCTAGTTCTACGAAGTGTTTTTGTGACTTCACCTAATCAACACGGTTGTGATTGTGATAATGACCTTTCTGGGCACACATCTGATTGTGTTTGGAGACACAGAGTCAAAAACGTTCTGGAGGTCCTCGACCCTTGATTTATCTCAAAACAGATTTATACAATTACAGCCTCGGGCGTCCGACCTTTGGGCCACACTGGAAGATGGAGAGTTGCCTTGGGCCACACGTGAAATACATTGAGACACATAATCACAAAAAAATTTCATAATGTTTTACGTAAATTTACGATTTTGTGTTGAGCCACATTCATAGCCATCCTAGGTGGCGTGTGGTCCATGGGCCACCGGTTGGACACCTGTGTGAGTCTAGACAGTCCAGGTGACACGTTTGTTTAAAAACATGAGAAAACAGGCAAGAGTTGTTCGAATCTCTCTTTTGGCCTTTGGAAGCTCTTTGTGCTAAACCGCTCTCTCAACACATTGAGAGGCGTCTTGTGCGAGCGTCGGGTTTCCACAGGACAGCGTGGAAACCAAGTGGTCTCTGCTACCGGACTTGGAGCTGAAGAACCTGTCGAGGGACGGTGCCTCGCAGGCGCAGCCCTGGCGACCCCTGGCGGGCACCCCCCGCCCCCGACATCAGGCCTGTCTGTACCCCGGAGGCCCTGCCTCTGCCCCGGCCGGTGCTGCGTGGCTGGGGCCCGCGCCTCCGCTGCTCGCCACCTAGATCGCACCGGCCAGGGATGGCTTCACTCTTTTCCACGCCAAGACCCGCCCGCCCTGAGAGAAAGAAGCCCTGGTCTACGTGGTCATTTCCGCCCACGTTTTCAGAGAGCCCACGTCTCCTGGGGACACTACTCCAGGGGTGGGATCGGTTTCGGCATCGTGTACATGCTGGACATCCTAGACACCATTCCCTGCTTCCATCCGCTGCCACCGCGCTGCTGCCCCCTCCCCCGCCCCCAGGACTGCGCCCCCGGCCGCCCCCCCGCAGCGGGACATCTCCAAGAAGGGATCCTTCGGTGAGCACGTCCCAGGCGCGTGCGGGTGCGGTGACTGCGTGACTGGGGGTGAGGCTGTCACCTAGGGTTGCAGAAGTGAGTGTGTGGTCGCTTGCTGTAGTGGCCTGAGGGGGTGGTGTTGCAGGGGGCGTGCTCGGACCTGCAAGGAAATGAACAGAAGAGTAACCGTCAATGCGATAACCGTGTGCCGCGCGGAAGGGCGGGGGTGGGGGACGCTGCTTGAGCAGAGAGAACCTCCCGGCCTGGGAACAGACGCTCCCTGTTTCCAAATAAGACTGGGACCCAAAGACTTAGCTCCGCGTGGATCTTTAAGATCGCAAACAGTCCACAGAATTTGAACTCAACGTTGTCTAAATTGGCAGAGCCAGGATTCGTTCCTTGCTGTAATTCTTACCTGGTGTGTGAGTTTCCTCGACTCACTCCCTCTCTTTCAATTACGACTTTCCTTATTTTAATGAATAAGAACGCCATTTACACTCTTGTACTTTTCATTTCACACCGGATTTTTACATCTTCAGCCCTCACCACAACCCGACAAAATGAGCGTTATTGTGCCCATTTTACAGAAGGGAAGACTGATACCCAGGAAGTATCAGTCCCGTGTGCCCAAGTCAGCTTCAAAGGTGGTAAAGCTCAGTGGGGTCCCGGGGCCCCATCACCTCTTATGATATGAAGAAGAAACCAAATATGCCCAGAAAAATAAAACTTCCTGGCGAGTTTCTTTTGCCTGCATCCGCAGTGACATGCAAACAGACGCCAGGCAGGAAGCCGCCCACGTGTTTGCTGTGGCACATGGAGCTGCCTCCAGGTTTCAAGTTTCTGTTCCACTTTCGTAACCCAGACCCCCGCGCGCCAGCCCGACCTGAGGCGTTGGAGGTGCTGTTGGAGGTGCGTGCGGGTGAGGCAGCGGCGCTGCTGTGTGCGGGGCTGAGCGCGGCTCCAGCCGGGCTGGTGGGGGCCGCAGGGGAGGCGCCGGGCGCAGCCGTCTCTGCCGGAGTCCCTGCGATCAGAAAGAGCGTCAGCACCGGCTCGTGACCCGGCTGCATCGGGGCGGCTGGCAGAAGTAGGGCTCCCGAGGCTGGGCCGAGCAGCGGATGGCCTGTCCCTTCTGTCCCACCCCGAGAGAGGTGCCCTGCCCACTGACAGGCGTCAGCGAGGCTGCGGGAGAGGGGAGCCGAGGGGCTGACAGCTCAAAATCAACGAGGCTTCGTCATCGGAGCTCGAGTCTAAAATTCCTGGGGCCTCAGGGGGCAGCTGGGACAGCCTGCAGCATCAAAATTGCAGCCAAGTGGCAGAGTAGGAGCTGGCTCGCGGGTGCCGAGGGCCCACGGGCGGCCACAGTGCGCTGAGTGTCAAAGGCCACGTCAGGCTGGCACAGGAGGAAGCGGGACTCCCCACATGCCCAGAGCCTGGCGCGCAGTGCGCCTCTCTGGGGAGGGGTCCCTGGAGCGGGCGCTTAGTTCTATTTTCCTTAAAATAGCGCGGAGCACGCTCCTGCCGGCGCCGCCCCTGAGCTCGGAGTGTCTTCCCGTCCCGCCGAGGGTTACAATCTGCTCTCGCACTGTGGGTACCCCTGGCCAGGAAACGTCAACTTGGCTTAGAACCAGAGGGGGCCCCGTGACCCTGGCAGGGTTTCCCTCCCTCCCCGGTCCTACGAGGGTCAGTGCGGAGGGAGGTGCTCTGCAGGGGCTGCGCGTGGGGTGCGGCTGGGGCTTCGCACCGTGAAGCGCCCAGGCCGGGGGGGGGTCACCCGGGCACCACGCCCAGGAGCCCAGCACAGGTGGCCAATGTGCGCCCGCCGGGCGGTCGTCATGGCCAAAGCCGAAGGACGACAAGCCAGCCCCTGCGTGAGCTTGTACGGCTGTGTCACTGTCGCGGTCACCCTCCCGAGACGTCACGGTCCTCCGCTCCCTGACGTCCGCAGACCAACTGTCCCCAGAGGGCCCACGGAAGGGCCCCGGTGCCCGTTCTGAAAACGGCGTCGATGCACGCGCCCGGGGCCTCCTGCGGCCGCTCCCTCGCGGGGACACGGGCATCCCATCAGGATGGAAAGTGCTCCTTCCAAAATTTGGCGTTTGGGCTCCCCGCACTGTCCTCAGAGGCCACTACAGCCCCTCAGGGAACAAAACCGGCAAAGGAGGAGCTGTGCGTCCGGCAGGCCCTCGGAAGCCGACTCCGACAGAGGCGGAGCGGGAGAAAGGCTTTCCGTCCTTTCAGAAGAGAATCGAGACCCAGGCTGACCCTCAGTGGCGCTTGCAAAGCAGCTGGGCACGTCTCCAGACTGTTTCGGGCTTTTCTTTTTCCAAGAGACCCTGGTCTGCGTGCCCCTCGGAGGTCCCCACTCTGCTCCCCACCCCCAAACTCCCTAACTCCCTGTCTCATCTCCCTGTGACAACCACTGTCTCTTGTGTAGGGAATCTCCTGGAAGGCATAGGAGTGGCATTTACAATTTAATTGGGTTAATTCAGTCTCACGGATTTTTAATGGGTGGAATTAGCCACTGTGAGGATTCCTTTTTTAGGGCCGAGTGGATGGACAAGGTGGTGAGACCATCAGCCTGGCTGGCTGGTCCCCTCCGGTCCTTTTCCAGCCCCTTCCCCGCTCCAGTGCCTGAGTCTGCCGATTGGCTAAAAGCTCCAAATCTTTTTTACTGCAGTTCCCATGGCAACGGGAATGAGGCAGGGAGGTGAGAACAGCTCTCTTCCCAGCTGTAAAGTTTGTAGATCGCCTGGGACGAGGTTTTACGCTGAGGGAACAGGTTGACGACTTTGAAGTAGCCATTTTTCCATTTGTCCTGTGTCCCTGCCTCCACGTTTGATTGTGACATAGCGCAGGCGGCTTTAGCGCCGGCCCTGTGGGCTCCTCGCGCGCACCTTTGACCTTCAGGCGCTGGGGTCACGGATTTGTCCCTGTGGCTGTGCCGGTTCGTGCCCTGACACACAGGACTGCGTGTCCGAGTACAAAGGGGCACCGAGAAGCGGTTTAGGTGCTGACTTTGGGAAGAGAAGGGAGGGGCCGTTGCACCTGGTTTTTATAAACACCAAGATGCTAAGCTCGAAGCATTTTGACGTGCGAATGGGGGGTGTGGGCATCTCCTCCTTTGTACCTCATTCTTTACAAAAGCACTTTAATTTCTCTGTGAAAACAAAAAGCATCTGCCCTTCGCTGTCCGGTTTATCGGAAGGAGGTCTTCACCTAAAGGCTCATGCATGTGAGCCTTTATTCCTAGAAAACTCCCCGCTGTGCAGACTCTGGGCCCCCAAAAAAACAGATGCAGAGAGGAGGCTTAATAACTGCATCCTCCTCAGCAGCGTGTTCCCGAGTCTCATACCCTCTTCCTCCCGTTTCATCTCTGGGACAATGCCTCCGGGAGGCATTGTCCCAGAGATGCTAAGGGAAACCGCCCTTAGACCCCGGCGGTTTCCACGCCTCCGCGCGGGCGCGCGCCCAGCCCCGCAAACCTGCTGTCTCCGGGCCGCCTGGCGCCGGAGTGCGTGAGGGAGAGGGAGCCATGCTGGGTGCCTGGGAGCCAGGTCCGGCAGCAGGTGCCTGGGGGTCTGCGTGCGGGGTGAAGGAAGGCGGCGGTGAGGGACTGGCATCTACGGCAAGAATGTGACATCGCTTCGTCAACGTGTCCCCACTGCAGGAGAGAAGCTCAGCTACGAGGAGGTTACCCGGGGCGAGTTGCTATGACCGTTTACCGAACTCTGAAATGACCGACTCGGTGAAAACGTGCGTCTGCCCGTATTGCATTGATGGACTTAATTTTTAAAAAATAATGCAAATATCCCCAGCGGGGCGGGGGGCAAATAACAAAGCTAGATCATTCACCATCACTGTATTTTTTTAACAAAATAAATGGTCTCCAATAATTTTCTGATACTGAGAACCTGGAGCAGGGCCAAGAAGGACCGGCTTCGGGGCGGCCCGGCTGATGGAAACCCAAAGCGCAGCCCTGGGAGACGCGAGGGCCGCGGGGAGCCGCCCACCCGCCCCTCGGGGGGTTCCCTCGCGCCCCCCACCAAAGTGAGCCTTCGTGGCTCTGCTCGGCCACGACCCTGCGCCCTTGGCTTCCCCGCACTCTCTACACTTTACCACAACCGCATGCCCAGAAACCGAACTCAGGGTTTTGCTAAAGACACACTCTTCTGGTAGCTTTAGAATTACAAAAAAGAAAAAGACAAGTTCCCATCATCCCGTTTCCGGTGACATGGTGCCGACCTGTCACACCGGGCCTACTGGCATTATGTTGGGGGTCCAGGGGCACCTCTGTGGGAGCAGCCCCAGCCTCTGGGGAGCCACTGTCTGGCCCCGAGGTGCTTGCGGGTGAGGGTGGCGTGGCGCGGGCGGGTGAGTGGGCGGGCGGAGGCTGAGGAGCAGGGCCTTCGGTTGCGTTCGGTCCTGTGACATTCACGGGAGATGGAGGAGGAGAAAGTGAAAACGTGAGTCACACCCTGAAATGTAACTCCAGCATCACGCTGTGCGCATTAGCCATATACATGCACGTTTATGTACACGCGCCACCCAGACGTGACTCATGGTATACGTACGTCTCTGATGCGTGTCTATAGTTGCAAGTGCATACACATGTGTACACGTGCATGCACACAAACAGGTAAGTACAGAAATAGGGATATGACATATAGACTCAGATATAAAACCAGCTGCCAAGCAGGGGCTACAGACAAAAAACACAGGCTAGCGGAGTTAAGACAGCTGTTCCCCGCCGTCTCGCGGGTCAAGCGCCGGATTCTCGACGTCCGGAGCAGCGGGGGTGCGAAGGAAGGGGCACGGTGCCTGACGCCGCGGAAGGGCGCCGGAAAAGACTGGTCCGTGAAGAAAAGAGGAGAAAAAGGCGGAGTCGCACAGGGAGTGGCAGCGGGTCGAGCTTCCCAAGAGGAAGAAAGGAAAGGCTGAAGCTTACACACACACTAATATTTTAAAAACAAATCAAATTCAGAGAAAGCAAAGACTGGGTGGAAGACTAGAAAACACAATTCACAATCATACACACACACACACACACATATATATACACACACACATACATATAGACACAAATGGCCCAAGTCTAAAAAAAGGGGTTCGTTTTTGGTAACAAAGGAGCCCCGTTGAGCCCCGGGCGTCACTTCCCTCCGGTCCTTTGGAGAGAGGACGGCCGTGCTGCGTGGGGCGGGAAGAGGCGTGCATGTGGCACAGTCTCCGCGGGGCAGGCCAGCCCGCACCGCGGGGAGCACACCTCGTTTTGGGGTGGGCCCTCTCTCAGCGAGTGCATTTCTGTGCCAAAATTGTTTTTTAAAAGACAAAAGCAGCACATTGTGATCTGTGGGCCCTGGGATTATAGAAGCGCATTCTAAACTCTCTGGGTGTAACAGGTATTTACTTCCGTGAACAGCAAACTTGCAGTTGCCAGTGTTTAAAGAACAAGCAGCGGGCGGTGTCCCTCAGGTATTTCAGGTGGTGCAGCGCACTACGTTCGGGAGAAGAAAACAGCACGACCGTGGGGAGACAGCGCCGGGGCCCTCCTGATGGAGGGGTGGGGCGCCGGCGCTTTGAACGTTGCCCCCTCCCCCCACGCCCTCCTCCGCCTCTGCGGTGGAGGTGAGCTTGCTCTCCTGGAAGCGGTGCAGGTGCCACGTGGCCTGCGAGTGACATAAACCAGCTCCAGTGCCCCGCCATCCAGGGCTTCCCCAGATTTGTGAAACCTCCCTGCCACGCCACAGCCGTGCGACCTTCTACTATGAGAGCTTCTTAAGAAGTGAAAGATTGTGCTTCTCACGCAGGTGCAGTAGTGCTGTGTCGCTGTCTGCATAGTTCTTTGTTCCCGCAGTTGGGAATGAATTTTCATGTAATTACAACAAGGCTTCTTTTAATAGCGCAATTCTCAGAACATTTCAAATGGGCCTAATTAGACTGTGCACCATAAGTATTAAATCAGAACGGCCTTACGGCTTTACTCGCTTTCTTAAATCCTACTGCCACCCACATAATTAATCAGGGAACCAATAATACACTCTCAGTAATGGTATCATTTAAGCGATAGAATTTATTTTTAACCAAATGCAACCTAATACTTCTCTCTTACTTTGCATATAATGTGTATAAATTTATTTTCAGCGTCTATGTTGTTTACTTTTCATTTGTCACAGGACTAGGACAGTTGTTAAGACACAATTCAGGTGTGGCAGTAGAATTTAGAAATAAGTACAACATATCCAGGTAGTCCCAGAGCTTCTCCCTGAAGGAATATATGTTTTATAGATAATTATGTTTAAAATTCTCTCTAATTTCTCAGATAATTCCTTAACCTATTTTTTAAAAATATAGTTTGTGCTCTAACTTGAATTATTTGCAGTGTTAAAATTTAAAGAGATTGGAATCTGTCATGTGATTTACTGTCAAGTTTAAGAAAAGCTATTCTTCATATACCATAATATATGAATAAATATTAATATGTTCAGGTAGGTACCAAACTTTATATCTTATAAGCAGAATCATTAAGAACAAGAAAATGTTCTAGTCATAAAAGTCTGTCCTTACAGAATGATTTCATTAGATAATAACGAAAATTTTATCCGTGATAAACAGATAAAATTTGCTACAAAAAAATAAATAAAATGCAAATATTAATTCTTACCAGGAGTAACGGGAACGGTGCTGTTTCCTGAAAAAAAGAAAACAGACATCTCTTAGAAAGTTTCAAATTTCATCCACACATATGTAAATAAGTCACTTATATGTAATTTCTGCTGTCAACATTCACTAAGTGGTGGTTTACAGTACCTTTACCCCAATGAAACTCCCTTCTTCCTCTGAGTGTTAGGGTTACAAAGCCCAGGTGTGTCAAAACTATGCTATACGTTTTCGAATTTTCTGGTAAAATAGGAAAAATAATAGAACAAAGGAGAGCTCTTGGGATTCATTTCAAGCCTGCAAAAGACTTTAGAAAGTTTTCTCCAAATGCATCATTGATTTTGTAGGCGGCGGTTGTTTATTGAGCTACAACTGTGCGCTAGACATGGCGCTGCCTTCCGGGGTGGAATATGGTCAGAGCAGAGCAACTCCCTGCTCCAAATAAGCTCCGACCAAAAAGGTAAAAAATGCCGTTGAGTAACTGAGACAACAGGCCAGCGACGCGGAGGCGAAGCCCGATGGTGGATTCGACGGCGGAGGGAGGAGGGCCGTTCCGTGGTCACGGACCCCTTCGACCGCATGCTCTGTGGCTCTGATTTATTGCCACCGAAATACGTGCAGAGCATTCTATGAAAACCAGTTAAAGGCCGTCACGTGTTTATCATGGAAATGAGAAAAAGGACGCTGGGGACACAGGGAAGCTAGTTCCTTTTTAACAACAGAACCGTGGACACTAAATGTGCCAGAGCATCTCCGGCCACCGGCCTCTCAACCAGCCCACCCGCGCTCCGTGCCTCAGGCCCTAATTCCATTCCAGCCGCTTCAAAAGCAACGCACTCCTGAAGGAACTAAGGGACAGCATTATTTTAATCTAAGTTTTGAAAAGGAGAGGAGAGCCAGGCACATTGCCAGAACGGACAAGGCAATTTCTAGAGACTTATCTTCTTATAAGGAAGAATTTAGGAACGGCGTATCGTTACGCCCTTTGCTAGTATTTTCTCTCTTGAGCGTCGCAGCAACCCTAAGAAGCGGAGAGGGGTCAGGCGCCCGGCCGAGCTCACGGGGCTCGCGCGCCCGCCCAGGCTTGACCTTGCACCTGTGGGCCCGCAGGCCGCGCCCCGCGCCCTGGCCGGGCTTCCTTCCCCCTTGTCGGCTGCTCTCTCCGCAGGCCTTTCCACCGGGACATTCTTCTAGCCCTTGTTTTAGGTTCCATCGAGGCTGGTGTTTATTAAAAGCTCACAAGCTAAGCCTAAAGCATCTCAGTCGGGATTGGACGACAGAGTAAATGACTTACACCGCGGGCCTAAACTGGACCCCGCTATAGCTATTCAGGTCGCACGCTCTGTAGATGGGACAACTGTGAGAAAATTCACAGGCGTGTCTATTTAATTTGCTGCAAAAGATTATTTTGGCAGGAAAGTCAGGCTCTGGTGACATCCAACTCACACACCTCGGCCTCCGGTTTAGCTGGGAGGAGGCTTTGGGGCCAGAATAAGTTCTCTGCACACATCTACCTTTATCTGGCTGTATCTTTGCTTACACATCTTTACCTAGGACTGTGGTTACATCTATACTCATATCTGTGTCTGTAGTACTGGTCTTATCGTGGCTCTGCATTCAGCATTTCTCCAAGTCCTTTAATCTTTAACGCAACAAAATTTAGCGCTCGGGGAAAGCACCGTAATACGTAAAGACAAACCCCATTTCCCTCTCTTGTGTGTTCATGCTCATTTCCCACGAAGGCTTCCCAGACGGACTCTGTATTTTTTTTACACCCACCTACCTCGGACTTTGATTCTAAATGTCTCCACTGAGCAACTGTGGAGACACACACACACACACACACACACACACAGCCTTTCATCTTTTGGAAAGAAAATATCATGCCTTCAGCTTCGCAGTTTAGACTCAGCATAAAACTTAAATTGCTTGTTCTCATAGTTGCAAAAGTTTTATCAGCAGATTTCTGAGTTCAGATTTTAGTTAGCATCAGAAATCACATGAGAATAATTTAGAGTCTCAAATATCATGGAAGCACTCTAAAATAATTTTTTTTTTTTAATGCAAGTCCAAAGTGAAGCCAGGATCCCTAAGAAAATACTCAGCAATGGAACTTGTAGCAACAATTTAATTTCAATAAGCCATATCCATCCACTAGACTGCATAATTTCTTAATGCCAGTTATTTTTTAAAATATAAAAAAATTAACTGCAAATCTCAAATTAGAAACATGAGTAGGCGTATTATAATAAAGACAAGATATCCATATTTCTAAAAGTATGAGCTGCATTAAACTTTCTCTTACTTTCTGCAATTGCACCAAATGCATTTTAGAAGACAGAGCACCTTTGTGCTTTTACATAGTGTCCTTTGACTTTACTCTTCTGGGAAGTACATACGATTTTTCCATGTAAGTGTCAGGGTTTCCTTTTAGACAAAGGCGTTTCTAGAAATATTCCAGTAGGTGGTGCCATAGCACCAAAAATCTGTCAACCTTTTTTTTTTTTTTTTTTTTTTTAAACCCTAAAGCCCTGTTGAGAATCAACCCCTGGAACTGACCAGGGACATGAAACAGATTAAGATGTGGCTAGCAGAGCCTTGATCTTCAAAGCAGCGTTGTTCTAAGCCATGTATCGCTACTGACTTTACCTTTCCCAGTATGTTTCTTTACAACTCAAAATGTTTATGCGATCGCAATTCAAAGTTACCTTGAAGTCACACCTCCAAGTCTCCATCAGAGATTTCAGCCACGACTAGGACTCAATCTAGTGAAAGTGACATTTCAAAAGAGGTGCTTGGGCTTAAAATAACACCTTGCTACCCTCCCCTCCCCTGCCAGAGAGGGAAGGAAGCCCATTTGCAAAGGGATTTGAACTTGTCCTGGTTCCAGAAATCTAAAAGCACACAGTCCGAAAGGTGAAACAAGATAGATGAAATACTATTCTCAGCGTTTCTTATTAAAAAAATGGAAGAAGCAAACCGAGACAAACAGCAACGGCCGGCTGAAACAGGCGGGCACGTTTTCCTGGCTTGGTGAGGACGGGGGTAACACGCGCACACAGACAGGCCCCGCCGGCCCTGCTCCGCGCACCTGGTAGGCGCCCGCAGACAGTAAATCCGAGCGCTCGTGTCCCGTGAGTGAGTATTTTTGGAGTGACCGCCTTGTGCAAGCGCCAAGTCCTCCTCTGGGTTTCAGAGAGCCCGGGAATGCCTTCCCTTCCTGCCCTCCTTTCGTTTATCCGTAAATATAACAACAGTGGCGCCAGTGAGTGACGCATTGTCCTGTATCAGACGACACTATGCAAATCCCTTGCTCGCCTCGGATTCTGCATTTAATCAAGGAGTTGGGGATTATGTTTTCTGTTTTATAGGGAATGATCCAGAGGCTTAAGGAGGTGGGTGAATTGCACAGTCCACACGCCTAGGAAGCGTCAGATGTAAGGGAGAGTACATCTAATAATAATTTTCTTATTCTTTTTATGCGAAAACGTTGGTTTCGCATAAAAAGAATACACTGTGACTACGCCCGGAATCCGAGGGATAAAGCAGTTGCTGTTAACCTGCAGAAGATTACTTCAGGCATTTCGGCTCCCGTAGACGCAGGATGTCAATGTCTATGGACACAGACTTCCTTTGACAGGCTTGATGAACTTCAGTGCGGTTGAGGAAGGCTGCGGTCCACCGGCCCAGCCCTCACCACGGAATCTCAGCGCACTTTTTAGGGGTCTTTGTGCATAAATACTAGTGCACATCCAAGGAATACCGGACGAAAGCCTCAGACAAGACAGAGATTGAGAGACGCGGAAGAGAAACCCAGAGAAACAGAGGCCACGCCCGAGCAGGAGGGACCCCGAGGCCAGAAGCAGCTCGCAGAAGTGAGGCCGACGCCTCCACGGACGAGGAGCTAGAAAAAGCAGTGATCAAGGCTGAGAAGAGGAGTCCGTAGAGACGTGCTAAAATCTCTGGGGCAAGAAAGAAAAAGAAAGAGAAACAGTTCAGCAGCAAATACCATTTGCAGGCGGCAAAATATCTCCAGTACCTGTTGTTCGCTTCTGGGGCAGGCGCCCAGGGTTTGGGGGAGGCACAGAGAGGTGACAAGGACGGCCTTTTTTTGTTATAGACTTCATCCTACTCTTAAAACTTTTGACACACATTTGAATAGAAATGCAAAAAAGAAAGGTGTCAGGATAGAAAACCGAGGATGCAAAGAGCAAAGGTCCAGGGCTCTGGGATGAAATAAAGTCAAGGGACTGGTTATTTTTAAATGCAGTAACGATATCTAGCAGCTGCCCAAAGAGGTGTCCCGTGTGCCACCCCGCCCTCTGCAGCCCACGTGTGAGCGCAGACATACGTATGAGTACATATGTGTGCACACACCTCTAAGACGAGGCACGAGGCATGCGTTTCCATGTCTTTTATGTTGGGCTTAAAATGTCATGTTAGCCAGTTCAGCCACATTGATTAACTGAACAAATAACAACAAAAAAAGTAATAAAGGCGAGATGACCCTTTCTACAAGATTGATTACTTTGCCTTATTGTCCATCTTAAAATATTTGTCTCTCAGTCCTGGGGGCAGAACGGCTACGCGGTGACTCCCCGTGTCCGGCCCCTGCATTAGATTGATTCGTCTTAACGTGGCCCAGAGTCTCACTTCCCTCAGAAGTATTTCATGAAACACAGCCCTAGGGGAGATCTATAAAGTGAGTTCATGTATTAAAGGCCAAGAGAAATTTATGTAGCTTTCTTTCACCCAAAATCTCCCAGATGTTTTTACCACAGATTCCTCTTTTCCCCCCGGAGATGGCGAAGACGTTGTCGTGGAAGGGGGTGGCTGCCGCGGAACCCCGTGTTCCCGGGGACACGGCCGATGGCTCTGGTGGATATAGGTTATGTGATGTATTTATATACAGAGAGAAAAGAGAAAGTGCGTGAGAAAGAGAGAGCGAGGATCGAGGGTATGGCGCTGCTTATGAGTACAAAATCGGGATTTGTAGTCACTTTGGCTGTGCGTCAGATTAAAAATAAGAAT